TGCCTGCTGACGTGCCGCACAGCTACACGTGCTGTGCCCTGTAGGTGTGCCGCTTTCCCGACTGTACTGGCATCTCCGCCCAGGCCCCCTGCTCGCCCCGCCTCACCCTGTGCGCTCGCCGCTGCTTCTCCGGGAGGAGGGAGGGAACAGACGCAAACGGTGGGTTTCCTTTATTTTCCTCAAGTGCCGGACGTGCACAGGGACGTTCCAGAGGGTCTGGTGTGGATTAGATTAAAACCGTGCGCTGTGGAAGAGGAATGCATGGGGAGTAAGTAGGAATGGGGGGCGCGCTGCTCTGGGAGTTGCAGGGGCAGGCACGTGAGGTGGCACAAAGCTGAGCTGGAGGGAAAGACAGGGCGGTGGGGAGGCAGCTGGGAGGAAGCCCGAGCTTTGCCGCAGACCTCGCCGTGGGGCTTCCAGAAGGGCGAGACGGCTGGGAGAGGAGCCACAGTCCGGGGACCCCCATCACGTCAGCCCGTCCTGGAGGGAGCGCCCCACACCTCGCTTCCTTGCCGAGGCTGGACGGTGTAGGGAGGTGTGTGCTCTCACGTGAACACACATCACTCAGACACAGCCTGCACCACGCTCACAGCCCCGTGGTGTGCTGGTTAGGGACGCTTGCAACCGCTGTGAACGGCACTTGGACCAGATTGGAGAAAAGCAGCCGTTGTGTTAAGTTGCTGCAGTGCCTGCCCGGGTCGGAGCCGCCCTGAAACCAGCTCGGAGCCCAGTCAGAGCCTCCGCTGCTCTAGGAAACCAAGCGCTCGTCCCTCCCTGGTCTGTTTTTTCCCTGCGGGATGCCGCGGGTTGTGGTTTTCACTTCTGATCTTTAGCAAGTACACGTGAGCACAGTGCAGAGAGGTGGCCACGTGTGCAAGGTGCGCGAAGCGAGCCGGCAGTCCCCAGGCCCACCTCCCTCCCCTCCCGCTTTGAATTGTTTGCACCGTGCTCTGTAATGAACTTAATAGCCTTAAATAACAGACTTGGCTTGCTGCTTCTGGCTTTTCAGCGTTCGGCATGGGGTTGGATGGCTGACTCTGGCAGCTGCACGCTGAGCTCTCTTTGTGGCCAGTACCCTGCCGCCCCCGAGCACCCCGCCGCCCCCGAGGACCCCCGCGGTCCCCGAGCACCCCGCCGCCCCCGAGCACCCCCGCCGCCCCCGAGCACCCCGCGGTCCCCGAGCACCCTGCGGTCCCCGAGCACCCCGCCGCCGCTGAGCACCCCTGCTGCCGCTCCCCCAGACGCGTGTGATTTCGGTTAGGTCCCTGCTCAGAGTGGATGGTATTCTGACTGTATCTTCTTCAGAGCCCTACTCTGCAATAAATTATGATTACTTTTCCTTTCTTGTGTTTTGTTTGTTTCCCCTGATGAATGATTCTATCCGTAACTCCGCTTGCTCATCTTGAAACCGTTAGTGACTGTCTGCTGTGTGCCAGGGGCTGGGTTAAACCTGGTCCCGGCCTCACCCTGTTTGCCCCCAGTCGCAGGCCAGCCGCGTCCCCCTTGTACTACTATCTCCTTACCTGCAGGACTGGAAAGGGTCCTGAGGCAAAGGGAGGCCAAATGAATGTGCCCAAGGCTCACTCAGCAGGAAGGGGGTGGGGCAGGGATTTGAATCCAGCTGTGTGTGACTCTCTAGACTCGGGTTTCTGAAATGTCTCTTGCATGGTACTTAACTCTAGCACTGCATCTGGAAGCAAGGTGGGGAAGATGAGATCCACCAGCAGAGAACTGGCAAGGGGGGCGGAAGAAAGGAATCACTGTGTTTACAAGATCATCTTTTAGATACGTGGTGAGAAGCAACTGTGTTTCGTTGCAGCCCTGCCAGTTACTCAGAACATGCTCAGTGCTTCCGTGCGCGTGCGCGGCACCAGACGCTCTGTCGTTTTCTCCTTAAGGGAAAAGTTCTGTGCAGAGCCTTGAGGCTGCTCCTTTCTGGGGTGCGGCTGCCTTCTAGATTCTGGTCACCTCTGTCTTCTGTGCCGCGTTGCCATCTCTGTGTTTCCTCCAGGAGTTTGGGGCATCGTGTTCACCTCCTCCAGTGCCTCCCTGAGTGAGCAAGTCTGCGAAGTAAGTTTGTAGAAATTCTGCAGATTTGAAAAAGTCTGTTTTTAACTAACTTGAAGTTAAATAAAATCTTGTTGGAAGAAAAAAACCCGAAAATGTCAGTTCTACCATCCCAGTTGATTGCCACCTTGTTGTATAGAATTTCCCTGTGGAATCCATTTTCCTTCAAAACTGTGCAGACTTGGGTTCTAGGTTTCCAGACTGTTGTGAAGGCTGAAGCCGTTCTGATTGCAGATTCTTTTTTTTTATGTTTATTTATTTTTGAGAGAGAGACAGAATGTGAACAGGGGAGGGTCAGAGAGAGAGGGAGACACAACTCCGAAGCAGGCTCCAGGCTTTGAGCTGTCAGCACAGAGCCCGATGCAGGGCTCAAACCCACAAACTCTGAGATCATGAACTGAGCTGAAGTCAGACACTCAACTAACTGAGCCACCCAGGTGCCCCTGATTCCAGATTCTTTGTATGTGACTTGTTTGGTTTTATTTTTCTCTCAGGATTCCTACAGGATCTTTGCTTTGTCCCTGATGCTCTGAAATTTGGTGCTGATGGTTCATGGTTTGGATTCTATTTCTGTTTATGTGCTGGGACCTTTCAGTTTGGAAACTTCTGGCTTCCGTTCTGAGATTTTTTTTGTCGAATATCAGAATGGCTCTGATTATCTGCCCATCTTCTATTTCTCTGTCTAGAACTCTCCTTGTTGGGCATGTGGGTCTTGCAGTGATATTTTAATTGCTTTTTATTTTACTTTGTTCTTATATCTGTGTTTTGCTTTATCTGGGGAACTTTTAATTTCAATTTTATCATCAACTCTTTTGAGACTTGTATTTTGCTTTCCTGTTTTTAATTTAGTTCTGACAGTTTTATTGAGATATAATTCACATACCATAAAATTCATCCTTTTTGTGTACGATTCAGTGGTCTTTAGTTCAATGACTGTTTTGCAACCCTGTCACCGCTTTGTAATTGTAAGAAAACGTTCATCTCCACCCCCACCCCGCACCGCACCTCTGCCAAGAACCCGGTAGGCATCAGCGGGTCATTCCCTGTCACCCTTCCCCTCGGTCCCCGGCAAGCGCTGATGAACTTTCTGTCTCTGGATCTGCCTGTTAGATACGATTCATACGAATGGAGTCGTACAGCCTTTTGTGACCTCGTTCAGGCAGTGTGACGTTTGCAAGGTTTACCCCTGCTGCAGCGGGTGTCCTTCACCCTTTCATTGCCAGGTGATCGTGTTGTGTGGCTGTGTGGCATTTTGTTTATCCGCTCATTAGCTTCTTTTTACTTCCTTGTTGCGCATGACTAATGCCGTAAATCGCAGTGCGGAGGTTGGCAGGGACGTGTGTTTTGAGTTCCCAGGGCGCGCAGCTAGGAGTGGGATTGCTGGGCGGCCTGGTGCTTAGCATTCAGAGCGCTTGCCAAACCGCCAGACGCAGCAGCTGCCGCGCCCCCCCCCCAGCACAGTCGGAGGGCGCCAGTCTCCCCACGTCCTCCCCAGCACTTGCTGTTGTCTGTCATTTTGATTTTTTTTAGCCATCCTCCTGGGTGTATATGTTTTTAATTTTTAAGAGCTATTAAAAAAATTCCTAGGAACTCGGTATATTCCTTTTAAAAATATGGTTGTTTCTTGGATGTAGCATCACTTACTTCTGATCATGTTAATATTTTTGAAGTTTTCCTCTCAGTTTTTGCTTACTCCAAGTTGCTTGTCTTGTTTTGGTCTCTTTAGCCCACGGTCAGGGTTCTGTCTGATGTGCGGAAACATTGAGGGCAACCTCACCGGTGAGCAGACAGTAGTAAGGAGCTATCGATTAAGAAGAGGAAGACTGAGCAGCAGGAAGGGACCTGTCAGGCTGGTGGGAAATAGAAATGGAAAATAGTGGTCCTCGGGTTCTCATTGCCCGGAACTGTCACTGCTTGCAGGGGCCTGTCTGCACCTGGTCCTAAGGAAGGGGCGGGCGGGGACGTTCGTGGGGTGCCATGGGTGAAGGCTGAGGGGAACCCGCGTGGCCCGCAGGGGCCCTGGGCACACCCATTGTCGCGTGCGGGAGCAGGAGGGTTCCCGGGGGCGGTGTGTGACACGGGGTCGTGATCTGTAATATGGGGGTGGGGCCAGAGGAGAGCCAAGACTTTACTTACGCACTTCAGCGTGTACGTTCTTTATTCTAACAAACAGTCACGTTACGTGTATGGCTGCAGAGAAGGTGCGTGTGGTACCGTAAAGGGAGATACTTCCTTAATTCTCAGAATCACTTGGATCATCTAGAAAAAGGTGTTTTGGTATAACCAGTGAAAAATAAGTACTTATTTCTGAAATACTAATGAAATGTGGAGACCTTAAGGGGAAAAAAAGTCACTTAAAGAAAAAAATACTTGCTTTTAAATCTCGGGAACATGTTGAGCGCAGTAACTGATGACGTTTTCCCTGTCGAAAGCAGCAACTTAGAGCCGGATTTGCAGTTGGTCCTAAAATATACAGATCCTTAGATGTTCCTGTTTGTCCGTCCTGTGTTTTTTTAATTTTTATTTTGTGCTTTTTTTTTTTTAATAACTTCTGTGTCATTTTGGTTGTCTTAAATCCCTTCAGAAACAATGCAGAGTGAGTTGTAGACTGAAGATTGCTCATACTTGGTGAACTAACGTAGTGAGCACTCACCAGATGCTTGAGTGCATGGGTCGGGGCCTCTGCACAGCTCCCTTGCTGTCGGAGGGAGTGTGTGTCGTTCACGTGAAGATTCAGAGAGACATAGCATGGGTTCAAGGTCACTTGGAGTAGGTCTGTTTATACGTAACATCAGTAATGTCTTATATATTTTTGTATTTATGTCGCACAGTGAACAGTATGTTCATGTTTTACAACGCGTTACACAGAAAATCTGTTTGGAGTCATTTATTTGTAAAACAAGTATCTGACTGTAGCTGTTTTTGTCTTTCAGAATTTAAATGAATACGTTGACGCATTAATTACCTTGAAGCAAAAAATCATTAATACAGAGTGAGTATGTTTTCAAGTGTTTGGTTGAACTTTGTGCACCTTACAGGTAAGCGGGAGCGGGTGGTGTGTCAGGTCCCTGGGCCAGAGACCTGGAGTCTGTCACCCGGGGCCTGGGTGCTATGGGTCGCGATGAGGCTCCCGCTGCGCTCTGGCTTTGCAGCCTCTGCAGCCAGCCCTGCAGGGTAGGACGCGTGTTTTAAGGTGTTTTCTGTCTTTAAAGCCCTTACTCAGCTTTAGGGTTGGACCTCAGATTTCCTCAGTATTTCACAGCCATCGGATGAGATGTAGTCTTTTTTTTTAATGTTCTGTAAGTCACGTGAATTTATACACTAAGATATTACTCCAGTCAAAGGGATTGAAATTAAAAGTTCGTGTATCAGGGCATTGCTGTTTCTAAGGAATTGAAGGTGATTACATATGCGCGTGTATAGTTAATTAATTAATTAATTAAGCATTAATTTGTTGCCTGAAACCTAGGAAGAAAAGTGCCTGGCATATTTTGAAATGTGATTTTAACAATGTATTTTCCAGATCACAGAAGTAATGTAATTCTTTTCTTTGTTGCAGTAATTTATTAACAGAATATCAGAAGAAATGTGATGATATCCTTTTTACCAGATTTTTCCTTTGAATTTTAAAATATGCGTCTTTATAGTTTCTTAAAAAACAGTGGGAATTTTCAGTTATCTTCCCGAAGGTGGGGTTTGTAGCCTCTACGGAAGGAACACCGGGGACACGAGGCTCTCCTGTGACCGCGTGGAATGACAGGCCTGCCGCTGTCCGTTCTGGAACAGTCTGGTTTTGTCCCTGGTTTGGATTTTCTTCAGGTTTCTTAAACCCTTTCTAAGAGGTGGGTCTTTTTCACGTGTCCTGAGGACGTGACGTATGTTCTGTGGGGTCGGGAATAATACGAAGCTGAGTGTGAGGCTCTCCAGGGTTTCTCAAAGACCTGCCCTGGTGGAAGAGCATTCAGAATCTTGGGAAATTGACTTCTGTGAGTTAGCTTTCTCATTTGTAGAGAATCGCTGTAGCTGGTGCCCCTGATCAGGGTGTGATTTGTGTTGACACCACGGGCGTGGACTCATGGTCGGCATTTGTTCAGTAACCGTTGAAGTATTTTGTGGTGAGGATGAAAATCGTGTGTGATGGAGTCTTCTACATGTTGTGGTGGAAACATTCGTCACGAAGGAAACCTCTCCCGTGAAAAGTAACACAGGTGTATTTGTAGGGATTCACTGAAGTTCAGCTTCAGTCATGGGAGAGTCTGCTCTTGAGCTTAGTCCGGGGCCTGCGGCCTGCCTCGTGTTCTTTCTGCCTCCTGGGCCTTACGTGTGGTCGCGGCCTGTCTGTACCATGTCTGCTCATGTGATGCTGGTCATACATAGGATCAAGGCATGAGGTTGAGATTGGTCTCTAGTGCTGAATTTCCACGTTAGAAAGATAGGTCGGTGAGAGCCTCTTCTAGTGCTTTATGTGTTCAAATTCTCAGTCTGTTGAGCTAAATATGTCATGACAAGAGCAATATCTTTGATAGTATTATCAAGTTATCTTTGATTATGAAAACTGTATGGAAACAGTTATTAGAAATACTTTTAACTAACTCAACAGGGAAATGGACAATCAATTCCAGTATTATACTTTCATTATATCCTTTTTAGCATAAATTTTTGGGGGTAATTACACGTGTAATCTGGGAAGAAAATTGATTCACTTTTTAAAAATTTGTCAAATTTTAAAGTCAAAATTGTTACAATAGCTGATTAAAAAGTGAGAACCCTCGGGCTTAGTGTGGAATGCCCGTCTGTGCTGTGACCCGCGGCCCCCACCGCACGCCCTGCGTTTGTCCCGGACACTTACTGCTGTACCTCACGTGCGTTGGCTTGTTCTTACAGCCCAGCGTGCCCCCCATGCAGGTTTACGTGGCTTTATCCTGTAACTTCATTTCTTGCTTTTTTGTGTAATCCTGATTGTTGTAAGTTTATGATTTCTTTTTTTCTAAAGGACAGAGAGCACGTTTTATTTTTCCTTTCAATATTTTCGAACTTTGCTTTCTTGCACAGAGTGTAAGTTAGGGCGAATACAGTCCTTAATCTTGAGCAGTCTGTATTCTGGGAGAGGAGGAAGCAGGCGCGCTTCTAGACACTTGCCACGTTTCCCTGGCAGCAGGGGATGGGGCGGAAGTGATCACACCGCGGACACTGTCAGAGGAAGAGGCGTCTAGACTTCGTGTTCTCCCTGTGCTTCTGTTCCCGTTACTCGTTACACGTAGTGGTAGGCGGCTCGTGGAAGAGCCTAACCTCGTTGGCTGGCATCCAGCTCCAGACTGCCTGAGAAATCCAGGATAGGTCGTTTTGGGATTTTGTTACAGGACCGAAGGTATTGTTCATTCTTGGAATTTCCTATTAATCTATATTTAATTGAATACCTTTTTTAATTTAGAGAAGTAGGTGTTTTGACTTTAGGTACATGGTACGGTAAATAGAATAACTTAGTAAAAGTTCTTACTGTGTTATAAATGGAACTTGGAATAATTGTTTTCTAGAAATTGTGATCTTGCCTGCATGTATACTGATTAAAGTGAGTTTCGTCTTCAGACAAGTGTCAGTAGATAAAACTCTCAGCGTTTTCTTTAACGAATTTCACAGCTGCAGTTTGCAAGAAGGTAAGATACCTGTTTTCATCGTTGTTTCGGGATAAACATTAAAGAGTAGGTTTTTTTAAACAGACTCCGTCAAAGTGCCATGTAGGATTGATCTGTTATATAGGATGTCGCTCTGATGGTCGTAATAGAAGAAGATTTTACATTTCTAGATGTTGCATCATCTAGATCAATTTCTTACTAAGGTCTTAAGTTACAGCCTGGTGTTTGACCTTTCAGTACTTGTGCTGAAGGCATTGCTGTTAAAACCAAGCTTATTGTTAATCACATCGCTGTCTGCATGAATTGGACTGTTTAGTGTGGTTATCTTATGTATTTTAAACAGTTTGAAATGGATTTAAAATTTAGCAGTGTTTCATACTCTGAATACGTTTGTCACCTAGAAGGCAAAACACTGTTACAAACTGGATCAGAAAATTGCCTGTCATTTAATTTGAGTAAATGAAGATGAATTCAAGATTAGAAAAGCCAAAGTATTTGGCAGATTGTTCTTTAGTGTGTTCTCCATCAGATTGAGAATATCTCAAGTAGCTTTTTCATGTACTTTTTATTAGAAATAGACTATAATGTCAAAGGAGTCCAGGGCAGTTGAAGATCATGTTGGTGTGGATATAGAGAATGCATTTAAAACGAGATACTCTTTTATTCCTTTTTTTTGTTCCAAGTTAGAAAAAAATAGGAAATCATCAGTAGAACTTTTTGGTAACATGCTGGAGGTACTTCTGTACAATAATTCTAACGCCTCGTCCATTTTTAGAGAGAACAGTACTCTGCATCACCAAGTGGAACAGATGCTTCAAAAAATCTCTCCTCTGCAGAAATGTCAGGAAGAACTGGGATCTTTAAAAGCAGAGCTGGAGGAGAAGAAGGTACGTGAAGGGCTTTCCCTACAAAGCTTTATGTTCCATAAATTAAGATCTGCTTATTCACTGTCATTGGAAAGAGGGTTAGTTTTACATCTTAACAAAGGAAGCAGGTGCTAGTCAAGAGTCGTTAAGTGTATTGCTATTTTTAGAGAACGTCGCCAGAGTTGATTAATGGCTTGGTCCTCGCAGTAATCACGAGCCCTGTGATGCTGTGATAGTCGCTTCTGCGTTCTTTGAGGTTCTGCAGAGGAACCTGCTAACTGTGAATTTTTAGTGCTCTTAAGTGTCCCGCATTGATTACCTTTTTGCATTGGTCTTGCTTTAATTATAAAATAACATGCAAAACTTCACACTCACAGGTACAGGAATCATGGTCTCTGTTTCAAAATCAAGTCGCAGGAAAACAGTTTATTTAAAATTCTGTAAACTTGGGGTGCAGTGCCAAGACACTGCTGTACACTGGCACTTCTGTATACATTTCGGCTTACTCTTTCCAGGAGTCTTAGGAGAGGACTGTGGCTTTTACAGGTAAGGTGAGTCAGAGGCCAGTGCAGTTGGCTGGGTGGTTTGCTTGAGCCATGTCAGAGCCACGCTGGAATGACGCTTGGCTTCGCGGCCTGCTCTCCAGGCCCTGGTCACAACGGGGTCCGTGCCTCCCGGCCCTCAATTTGTGCTGTTGTAGCGATGCCGTGCACGGAGGGGAGGTCTGACCGTCAGCGGTCTGACCGTCGGAACACTTCTGTAGAAGGTCTCTGTTCTGTAGTTCACCATGCAGAGGAGGTGAACCAGAAATAGCCGCGATGTTGAATTCTGTCTGCCTCTCATACATACACAGTCCTCTCGGCAGCCACAGCCGCGAGGGAGCACGAGTGCTAGTGTCAGACCTTGTGCATCACTCGTTCTCTGTGGCTTTAGAATAAGTCCGCTTGTGGACCCTCAGACCCCTCACGTCCGAAGGGTCACGAAACCCCTCTCAGAGCTGCAGCCGCTAGATGCCCAGCACGTGTGCATCGTAGGGCTCGGTGCCCAGGACGGTCTCTCCCGCTCTGTGCGGGCCGTCAGGATGTGCACGGTAGTGGGCATAAACGCTTTTTTCCTGGTTATTGTTAAGTATGGTGATTTGCTTTATATTTTTGCATAGTAAAAATGGTAGCTTATGTTTATTAAGCTCTAAAATTTTCTTAGATTTTTTGGAATTTTAACTGGTTGAGACAAAAATATTTGCTAATCAGTATTAGGGAGATTTGGAGTTGCCCTAAAATTAGCATATTGTAATGTTCTTAGCTTTGTTTGATGAGATTGTTAATCATGTTACATCTATATTAAGGATCTGGGTATCTTTATTAAAATGTTCAAAGAACTATACTTTGGTTTCCTGCCTAATGTATGAATTCATTTGGTTAACTTCTTACCGTTAAATAATAATAATGTTGCTTGCCAAGGTCAGAATAAGTGATCACTGCTGGTCACTGACTTTCAGTGAGATAAGGTATCTTATCTTTTCTCAGAGCTCTCTGAAGTTGTACCAGGACACTCATCAGGAGTACGCGCGTGTGAAAGAAGAATGCTTGAAAACAGATGCTCAGTAAGTGTTAAGATAACTGGAAATACAGTTTTCATTTTTGAAAAGAGCTAATCCTTAAATCGGGACTGTTTCTCTTTTCTCTGTTTTGGGGCTGTTGCCTGTAACTAACCTTGTGATCCTAAACTTGTCAGTCCTTCAGCCTTAGTCTCTCCATCTGTAAGATGGAGGTTACAGCTCCCGTGAGGGGTTATAAGGGGGACTAAGACGCCTCGATGCGTTAAAGAGCTGCCCAAAGAAAGAACCCCAAACAAGTTTTTATGTCTGCCCGTGCGCGTGCGCACGTGTCCTTGTGTCTTCAGACACGGCCGTGGCTCCTTCCCCTGTGCCCTGTACGGCGGGGCCTTCGTTACCACTAAGAAGAAGAGCTGTTTGGAAGCACCCGGTTGATTATTTTCCAACTCCTCACAAAGCTTGTGAGCGCCACACCCAGCGCTGTGAGGCAGACATGACTCGTGACTCGGACTGTTCCTCAAGAGTTTGCCGCCTGCTCTGACCCCCAGTCTGCTGAAAGCCGGGGCAGCTCGGCAGCCGCTGCGCCCTCTGACACGGGACCGCGCGGCACTGCTCCTATACCGTCTACACGCGTCAGCTCGGCCTGGCAGCGGGGACCACGGTCCAGGGCGGCCCCGCACGTGGCAGAGAATCACAGCGTTCTTTCTAGAGCCAGAGCAGCACGGCCCCCCTCTTGGGGTCACTCTTGCCTTCAGGATGGCCGCCGGTCCTTCCGGGGGGTTGGCGCGTGACCCTCATCGTGATGTGTCCTCGTTGTATAAAGTGTAATGACTTCAAAAAACATGTGTACCGTGAATTATAATATATATATATTTTTGGTTTGAAAGCTGACTGTTTTAACTTATGAAATTGTCTCACCAGGAAGAAGAAACTAGAAGCCAAGGTGAAGAAGCTGGAAGGTAATGGGCACAATTGGCACCTAGCTGGTGGAAGTCACCGGTCTTCTCACCTATCACACTGGTGGCTCCACAGAGTTGTAGGACTTGGCCCTGTGGCTGCGTCATCGTGGGTCTCGCGGGTGCGCCCAGGCCACCGCCTGCGAGAAGTTGGACTGCAGCGCCCCCTTCCTAGGAGGGATACGAGCAGGCCGGGTGGCGCATCTTTGAAATGGGGTGCGCTCCGAATAGAAGCGGCCCATGTTTTTACCTTAAAAGGCAGCAGTCAGTCAAAGGATTTAATTTTGAAACTTGACTTTCATGAAGCTTTCTCATTTTTCCCTGAAGTAAGTGGTTAGTAGAAAGAAAACAGTACTTTTAGTACCAGGAAACTTGATGTTTTTAGATAGTTATGACACATCCCTGGGAAGGTTCTGAGAAAGCCTGTACTGGGTGCCTTCCCTCTGTCCCTGACCCCTCCTGGCCCATCCCCGCCCCAGCGTTTGAATCCCGGCTTCTGGTCTACACCGAGTAGGCAGAGCACAGCTGAGTCTGCACATGATAGCCAGTAGTGCTTTTGGGAACTGACCTCAGGGTCTTTTCTTGGGCTCTTCCCTGTTTCCTTAGATCATGGAGAGACATCGGGGAGGGGCCAGTGAGACTTTGCTGGCCGCACCCCTGACCCACCTCCCCCTCCTGCGGGGGCCCTTGCATCTTGCTGACCCCACCCTGCTTCCAAGCGTGGTGCATTTTCCATGTGGAGTGAGGAGTAAGGATTTAAATGTAGTTGGATCCAGATGCAGAGAAGAGACCTAGCTGGAAATACTTCTCCTCATTAATTTACCTGTATGGAGGCTGTTTTTTTAGGTTTAAACTCTCTATATGTTTAACAATTTTCCTCTGATTGGGTTTTTGCACGAGCACTGACAGTATGGTAGTGAATGTGATATGACTGTGTTTTCAAGTATTGCTTTCTCTTGCTAGTGTGTGCGGAGAAGCGTCTATTTTAGGAAATATTTCAAAGACATCTGAAATGCCTGGGAGATTGTGTGTAGCTTTAGAACAGATTTCCTCTGAAGCAGAGTGTAGCCTTTATTTCCCATGTGACAACAATATTTTTTCCCCAGTAAGGGATATGGCATCGTAATCGGGTAAAGAGAAACTCAGCCCTGTTGGAGTAGTTGGGAACGGATAGTTACTACGGAGGCTTATGGGATTTTAGTTTTCGCGGCAATTGTGTCTGAACATATTCAGGTAAAGTCCGTGCTGTTTAGATTCCTACTAATATATTTGGACCATATGCTTCAGAACCAAAAACCAGGTGGAAGAATTTGCTGAAGATCTAGGGAAGAGCCATAGCAATACTTTATTTAAAAGTAGATCTAGAACAAACGTATTCACTAGAACTATGCATTTGTTGAAGGGATACCAGGAAGGCGTAACAGTATAATAAGCACAGAGAAGAGTGTACTCCCTTCCCAATACAGAGAACGGTAGGAACCTTATTCTGAGATGAAGCCACGCTTCTAAAATCTCTGAAGCATGAAGGTTGCCTCTTGCAGAAGAGCAAGGGGAGCAGTGCCCCTCCATCTGGAAGGTTCGCGTGTCTTGGGTTCTTGACTGACCAGAGGGCATGGGCTGGCTCTTGCTGGGATTAGAAAGGAGTCTTAGGGTCTCTTCCAGGTCTGTGGTTTCACAGATAACAGTGTAAACAACAAGTGTTCCTGACTGATCACATGCTAAAGAAGCAGTGACTTTTTATAAAGTTTGTGTTGAAGTTCTATGAAATGAGAAAAACTCAGATTATGTTTTGAGTATTTCACTGCCGGTAGTTGTAAAGTTGGTAAATTATCGTTGTCTCTCTCCTTCATTGCTCTCTTGAAAGAGGCTGCTGTCAAGCAAACTCAGGACTTCAAGCAACTGAGGAATGAGAAGAAGATATTGGAAAAGGAATTCAGGAAGACACAGGTAAGAGATAATAGCACACATGCATCACTGCTGGCCTCAGGGCTCCGTGGTGACCGCCAGCCCAGCGTCAAGACTGAGGCCGCCCGAGGAAACAGTCCACAGGGCCCACTCAGCTCTCTGTCTTCTGTTAGGTGTGGGGTGCCTGCACTCTGTGTCCCCCTCTGTCCCCTACAAACACTGGCAGCCCTTTGTTTTCACAGGAACGGCTTGATGAATTCTCTAAACAGAAAACTGAAAAGGGTGAGTATTCACGTCATGCCTACTTACAAATTCTGTTTCAGCATGCAGTATCCCATATTAACAGCTTTTTCCCCCATGTTTTTAGAGTTGAGACATATTGGGACACAAATTTCAAGTGATTCTTACGGAAGCATAGATAAAAGTGAGTACCTTATAGATTTCTTTTTAACTGTGCATTACTTTCAGTGGCTTGGGAGGTGGCTTGCTGCTCACCTGTAATTACGAAAATTCTGAGGTTTACCAGATGTTCATGTGAGAGAAGTCCTATTTTATGTCTTCCTCAGATCTGTTATCACCTTGCTGTCTGATCAGATAAAACAGTGAATGAAAGACTCAAAAAGCAACGTTGTTTGGGGAAAACTGTCAGAGATACATTTTCCATACTTTTTGATAATATAGTTTTCTCATAAAGTTACAGTTTATCAAATTAATTTTAAAATTTCTTAGGTGCCAAATACATTATGATTATTAAAGTCAGGCAGGAAAACTGGAGTCAAAGCCCTCTACCGTGTTTTTGGAGGACAGAAGAATTTGGGGAAGTCCAGAGTTGATACGGGAAAGTAAAAGGGCAGTCGGGGGTCGGGGGGGAGCGAGGGGTTGCTTCAGTGTGCATTTTGTCAGCGGGTGTGATGCCTCCCGGCAGGAGGATCTAACCCTGGAAACTGAGAAATTGGGAATTTTTGCTTTAACTTTCCTCTTTATTGTCTGATCCTTGGCTGTTTACTTCACTTCTCTGTGTTTTTTTCTTCATTTTTACTTAGTTTGTTTCTTTAAAGTTTACTTATTTATTTTGAGAGAGCAAGTGTGAGTCGGGAGAGGCAGAGAGAGGGAGGGAGAACCCCAAGCAGGCTGTGCACTGTCTGCGAAGAGCCGGATGCAGGGCTCAAACCCACGACCTGAGCCAAAGTCAGACACTGGACCGACAGAGCCACGCAGGCACCCCTGTTCTTCATTTTTAAAACAGAGATAGTGAATTTCTGCTTTATCCCACCCTTTCTATCTTCTTGGTAGGGATGGATTTGAAATGATAAATACGTAAGTAATGGTATTTTCATTCACTGCTATGTAATTTTTTCTCCAAATGGAAATTACTAAAACCACTTGTGTTGTTTTGAGCAGGTAGATAGTGTCTCTTCAAAAGTCTCCTTTACCTTACCTCGTCTCTTCTTCTTTTTTTTTTTTTTTTTTTAAATAAATTTAGAGCATGGGGCACCTGGGTGGCTCAGTGGGTTTAGCGTCCGACTTCAGCTCAGGTCATGATCTCACGGTTCGTGGGTTCGAGCCCCACATCGGGCTCTGTCTTGATGGCTAGCTCAGAGCCTGGAGCCTGCTTCGGATTCTGTGTCTCTCTCTGACCCTCCCCTGCTCACACTGTCTCTTTCTCTCTCTCTCAGAAATAAATAAAACATTAAAAAAAATAAACTTAGAGTATAAACCACCTTTTCCTGGGATTGAGGCTTTAATACTTGACACCTTTCAGTTGCCTGAGCACCAGTTTGCCATTTACCGTTATTGCTGCCTCATAGCTCCGTGTGCTCTGACCCCCGCTTCCTGCCCTCGCACGTGGAAAGCCAGGCTTAGAGCGGTAGGTGGCTGCCCTGGGAGGTAGCGGGGCGCTGGGCCTGGCTCTCCCGGCCCGCTGCCTGCTGCTGGTGTCACCATCTTTTCTGCACGGATGGTTTGTTTAGGATCCGATGTTCTCGGGCCTTGCTGTTTAAAACCAATCCCTCCTGGGGCACCTGGGTGGCTTAGTCGGTTAAGTGCCCGGCTTTGGCTCAGGTCATAATCTTGCGGTTTGCAGTTTTCAAGCCCCGCGTTGGGCTCTGTGCTGACAGCTCGGAGCCCGGAGCTGCTTTGGATTCTGAGTCTCCCTCTCTCTCTGACCCTCTGCTGCTCACATTCTCTCTCTCTGTCAGAAATAAATAAAACATTAATTAAAAAAAATAAATAAAATCGATCCCTCCCCACCCTCGCCCCCTTACGTTCTGTTTTCTTTGTTCTTTTCATCTGCCCTCACGGTGACAGCGAGAGTATTGTCTGCTGTGCATTTTACTTCTTCTGAAGAAATGAAGTCTTTAGGAATCTGTGAATTATTTAACTGAGGACTTTGTTGGGTTTAATTCCTAAGTAGGTCTTTAAAACTTTTTCTCCTAATGCACTCTTTTGGCCCTTAACACTAGTTTGAACTGCACACGTACCCACCTATGTGGTGGTGGTCGGGGGGTGGGGGTTCCTGTAACTACAGCGCAGCACTGCACTGATGTTTCTTCTGACGTTTTAACAGCGTGTTCTTTCTTCCGGCATGCTTCGCTGCATATAATGCATAGGACGTAACACACCTGTTACCGTGTGTGATGCTGCCTGGGAGCTTTAATGCTGGGCTGTTAGTATTTGGATTTTGGGGGCGTCACAGTTACATGTGGATTTTTAACTGCTGGTGCCCCGACCCCCATGTCATTCAGGGGCCATCAGTACTTCTGGAAGAATTCACAAGTTAGAGTATTGGGTTGACTTCGTTTTTAAAAAGTCTGCCCGAATGCCACATTTGCCTTTCATTCCTTCTAAATTCCACTAAAGATGGCAGAAAAAAGAAAACCCTCTCCTTTAGAGTTAACTTAGAGTTAAAACGTTTACTATCAGTGGAGGAAAATGTAAAGCAGATGGTATCAGTTGGTGATGAAACCCAAATCTACAAAGAAAATAGCAGCCCTCAAAAAGCACGTTTCATTGCAGAAGGCCTGTGTTTCTTCAAATCAGAGGCGCAGGGAGTTCGAGAAGGAGCAGGACGGGAGAGGTTTGCCAGGTAATTGATTCAGGGGCGAAAATTGTGTAGCCTTCTGGTTTCAGAAACTGTTTCTGGCACTTGTCTACACTCTGTGGCCCAGAGTTCAGTTCTATGAAGTGTCATTTATGACAGCAGCGGCACTCAGAGTGGCTGTGGTGTCAGGAAATCAAGAAATTGAGTAATTACAGCCACTCAGGTACCCAGAAAATGAAATACTTCCATTCTCCGTGTGACTCCTCATAACTGCTTCCGTCTGAAGGTAGAGTCCTGTAGGTCCATGAAAGGAGAACCTTTGTTTATTGCCAGGGGAGTGGAGGTTGAAGAAGTATATACACTGACTCTCAAAGACGTTCTGCTCTGATTTTCATTTTAAACTGAGAAGCAGCAGTTGTGAGAGAGGAAGCCACCAAAGTCCGGGAGAAAAACCCTAAAGAAACAAGATTAAATCATGAACGAGGAGAAAATGTGAAAAATTGAGTTAATGTCATTAGAGAAGTCTAAGAGCATACCCATCGGCTGCTGCTGTGAGACTGAGCCAGTGGGCTTCTCGAATTCTCGATTATGGAAAGCCAGATCGTAGATGTCACCGTAGCCCCATCAGGACCCCCTAAGAGGACGACAGAGCCTCGGGAGAGACGGTCAGCCAGAAGCAATCGAAGGAAGCTCCCAGGAGCAGGACACACACCATGTTTCTACTGGAAAGGCCTTTCGGGTGTTGAGCCCGATTGTGTGTATATGACCTTCGTTATTGGCATGTTCGTAGGAAGTATTTTTGAAATCGAATGGAGTTGAGTATAGAAAGATAGATAAAGAAATTTCGACCAAATGCTGACTTGAAACCCAAAATCAGGCAAAAAATTATTCAAGCCTGGAAGTGAGTTTACATGAATTAAAAGGGAATATCCAGGTTGATTAAAGGGACAGTTCACCAAGAAGATGCTACTTTCAGAGACCTAAGAAAACGAAGCTGTGTCAGGTAAGAATGCCTGGGGATTCTGGAGGGAATGGTCACATTGTTTCCACAAGAGGCCTTCGTATTCTTCTCAGAAACAGTGATTTGTAAAAGCAGACAAAGCAGGACGTGGAATTGATTTCCTAATTGCAGATTGGTGATTTCTACCTGATCCTTTTAAACCACAAACCTAGAATTCTTTAAAATACTTTTCAAACACATATGAAGGCTGACTACTAGACAGTAGGAACTATAGCTTAATATATTATTAAGATACTGGTAATAAGGTATTAAAAAAAATCCTGCCCTTGCCCAAAGCGGGGAAAAATACTTTCCAAACGTATCTGGTAACTGAACGTGCATAAACACAGCTACCTCTTGGATAACAGAAAATAAAAACAAATACTAAATGCTTTGGGAGGTAAATATTGAAGTCTCTGAGATCCTGCCAGTATGGCTTTCTCAGGAACCAGTGATGTTACGTGATCGTTCTAGAAAGCAAGAACTATGGAAGGTGAATAGCAAAGTAGGAAAATGCAACAGAAACTAAGGAAAATGGAAGGAAGGACCTAAGTCGATGGAACGGGAAACAAGAGTACGTGATTGGGGACCATTGAAAGGAATGTCTGGGTCTTTGCAAGGCCAGTGGGGCCCCAGCTCCTTGCCAGGTACGGTCAAGACAGGCAGGGACAGAAGCAAGGGCGCTGGAAGCCTGGACAAAGCTGCAGGTAGAGAATTACTCAGTTCACAAGTTTATGTTCAGACTTGATCGTGTTTGTGAAACGGGCCAGTGTCCAGGAAAACACGCTCAGATTGACTGGGGACAGTTGTGAACCTGAACGGGAAAATAACCCAGAAGAAATTAAAAAAATAATAACGCTCTAACAGCATCAAACATCCGGGTGCCTTACAAGGGAGCTCTGGGAAAGCTTCGGTGAAGGAGGCGAATGTCTTTATTTCCTGTTGACTTCAGAACTTAGAAAGACGCGGACCGCTTTCTGTGTCTGTCTCTCAAACCCAAATAGGGCTGTACCGAAGGCGGCCGAGAGTGACGCGCTCACGTCCTCAAGGCTCCAAACGCAGTCGCTCATGAAGATGGCTGCAAAACACACCATGATGCTTTGGAGACTCCAGTTCAGTAGTAACAGGGAGCACACGCAAGTGATGACTTCCACATTTGTCTCCGGTGCCGAGGGGCAGAGTACCCGTTCCCATGGAAACATACTGGTGACATAATAACAGGAAACACATTTTGAAATCGAGGTGACACGTGAGGAGCCTTGTCTTGTGAGGAGCAGACACATAATGCTCTCTCTCCCTGCACCGTGTGGCAGCAGAGTAGGGCCAGTACAGACGAGTCAGAATGGTCATCATGTCAAATGGCCCGACTGTCTGGGTGGACTGTGCTGGCGGAGGGCGATGTGCACCATGGACGCACACAGTGCCCCATGGAACCCGTCAGAATAGGGGCAGAATAGGAACAAGTCCTCCAAGGCGGCAGGACTGTCAGCCGTCTGGGAAGAGAAAATCCTGTGAACGGCGTGTGCCAGGCCTCGGGGGAGAGCTGTGAGCCTCAGGAGCGTTCAAGAGCAGATCATGTGAGTGAGCGCTGCGTCCTGGGTCAGGCTGGCCGGATGAAGATGTGAATTTCCCTCTCGTACCCCCATCCCACCGAGGATTTGTATGCGGAAAGACAAGCAGAGGGTAAAGGCTTCTCAGCATAAGAATTCAAGAATAATCCAGTGTTCGAGAAGGAAAAACCTGAGCAAAGCTCACGCCCACACAGATACTAAAACCTAATTGTGAGCTTGTCATGATGAAGGCAGCACGGCGTTCACGTGGTGGTAGCTGACGCATCCGTGGAGGGACGGGTACAGAACTGCTCATCCTGCCTTGGCCTTTGACACCGGGAGGATTTGGCAGGAGTGGGGGGGGGGGCGTGCGGTGCGACGTGACGAGGCTTTCTCTTCCCAGCTGAGGGACGGAACCGCACGGTGGATTTCTTCTGCTTTGCTGGGAATGGCTACTTGTGTTTTGTCAGATGAGAAGTAATGAGCACTCAGAACAGGCTTAGCTCTGGTTAATAGCCTCCATACGGATAGAAGAGTAACTTTTTCTTATCTTTTAAGGTTCCTGGTTTGCCGCTTTGGGTATTCGTAGTAAGCAGGGGTCCTGGTCAGGTCATGTAAGCAAAGAGGGATTACAGTGTTTGGAGGCAGACTTTTGGGTAGGTTAAATCACTGCATAGTTACATTACTTACTGAAGAACGGTGGAACCCAGGAACGGTGTGGCTCACACACAGTGAAAGTCAGAAGCTGGTGTGGCTCAGGAGAGGCTGGAAATGTCAGACTTTTTTTTAAACTTGCCCGTTACTGTGTTCTCACCACTTGACCCTGGTCCCCTTTCGGGGCCGTGCAGTCTGTTAGCTTCCGTAAGGCTGACCTGTTTCAAAGAATAAATTCTTGCAGATATTTTGGTTTAAAAGGTTGATCTTTTATCCTCTCTAGAACTGGATTAAAGATTTTAGTGTTTTCAATAAATGCTTCAGGCTAATTTAAGAACTTCAAAAAAACTGTAATGGGGCTCGAGATGGCCTGAAATTGCCTAACACTTCAAGCATATTTTTAATTGAACTTTTATTAGCGTGGTTGGTCTTTTTATGCAGATTTGACCACAGATTCATACTCAAGTGTTTATGAATATTTTTTGTTCTGGGAGTTTCTTGGAATGTGGGTGCATATTAATGTTGAACTCACTTTAGAACTGCAGTGTCATACTCTTAATGTTATACGAATTTCATTAGCCTTGTCTTAGTTACAAAAATATGAATTCACAGTTCATTAAGGATCTAAATCTGTAGAAGTATGTACCTTTCAGCTTGAACCAATGGTTCTTAACTATTTCAGGAATCAGACCCTTGTGAAAATGTATACAAATTCCAAGGCAGTCACTTTCCTCATAAAAGCATAGGTCTCTGTGTGTGTGTCTGCTCCTGTGTGTGATTCTCTCTTCCGTTCCGTGTGTTTATACACACACATTTTTGTCCCTCACCCTGTTATCCCTGAAAACCATTACTGGATTTTCCATTATCCGTGAAGCCCCCGGGTTAGCTACAGTGTGGTCAGCTCCCATGGGTTTCCTGACACCCTCGCTGTGACTGAGGGGTGCGTCTCTGCCGTCGTATGTCACGTCCGGAGAGCTGGCGCTCTGACAGCACTCGTTCCGTCCGTGCTTCCACCCCTCGTCTCTCACCAGAGAAGTCTTTGGTCCATGCATACACAGGGATGACAGAGACCTGTAAGAGCCTTTAACAGATTTGGTCTTTTGAATCCTCTGCCGTCTCATTCCCCCACCCCTCGAACAAAACCACGGGTAGAGTCAGCCTTCAGGGTTGAGCTGGAGCCTCGCAGGCCTTCCTGTCCGCAGCTGAGCATGTTACACGCAGTGGTTGGGCCTGGGGGACGTGTAGCAGGTGCCTGGTCTTCTGGGCCCCTGAGATCTCCTGCTGTCCCACGAGCATGCGTCGGCCTTGGGAGGGAACAGCGAGTGCCCTGTCCTAATGCTTTATTCTTTTTCACAGGAAAAGTAAAACTACTTCTGAAGGAACTCTGGCTCTGTATAAACACAACACACAGACTACCTGGTGAAGGCAGCAGATGTGTCCCAGGTGAGAGAGAAGCTTCCGGAGGTACTTCTCATACGTGAAAGTAAAAACGTTTACCGTGGGTGCCTTGTGCCTTTAGTTTGTAAAGTCTCCTGGATCTCATGTGGCAAGAATGAACTGGGCTGGCGCGTGGGTTCTTCTAATTACCCGGGGCTCCTCCCTTCTGTGGGACCTGAAATTTAAAATAAAATTAAAAGTGGCTTCGGCTTTTAATGTTTAAAATGGCGGGGAGCTGGGTGGACGCAGGATGGGGCACACGTGGCAGGAGCCAGCAGGGGACTCGGGGGCACGGCTCTTTCCGAGGCCGGCAGCAGCCTGGCTGCCTGTGGTTTTCCGGGAACGCTCCACTTCTTTGGTCGGCCTTGCAGCGTGCAACTGCGTGCTTGCATCGCCTCTCTGAGAATTCCGCTGTGGTCGGATGCAGGCCTGCTTCCCCCGCGCCGTCCTGCTGCCTCGTGACTGCGCGGCACCACCCTGGTGCGTCTTCAGAGAGCTGGCCTCACCCGGGGGGGACGACACCCGGCCCAGGAGTTAGGGCGTCCATCATGCCAGCGGGGGTGGGGAGGAGGGCGCCGTCTTGCGCAAGGGGAAAGTGCCTCTTCCCTATTTTTTCCTTTTACTCGTTTCTTGTGGTGAGCTGCTGGGCCCGCCCAGATCGCCGAGGACCAGAATCTGTAGAGACGGGCACTAGTTTTTACTCTCCGGCTTCCGACGGCCACGTGCCCTCGGGAAGATGTTGCCAGAGGTTCCTGGTTCTCATGAGTGCTTCTCTCAGAACTCGTGAGGCTGTGTGAGGTGAAGAGACGCACGTGACGGGTGCTGCCACAGGCCGGGCGGGGGCCTGCGCCTCGAGCCCGTCGCTGCAGCTCCGAACCGGGCCCCGTGCGCGCAGGCAGGAGCAGCCTGGGACTGTCACGGCTCCTTCCGCAGGTGGCAGTTGTATTTTATTATGATCCCGTGACTTCTCGTTGTTGAAGATGTTAGTGAAAGGGCTTTTCATTTAACAATCTGATGTTTTTATTTAAAACGAGCCTATTTTGAGGAGTAAGTCTACGGCTTGATGTTAACTTTTTCAAGTAAAAAGGAGAAAGTGGCTTCTTTGGAACCTTAAATCCTAAAATGTACTTTTTTTTTTAATTTTTTGTTTGTATATAAGAAAATTCATGAAAGTAATGCGCAGAATTCCCTTATACTCCTCACCCAGACTCCCCTGGATGTAACACCTGGTGCAGGCCTCTCAGCCGAGCTGAGCCTCACACGGACGCCTCCAGTTTCGCTCCAGGCCGCGTTTCCATCCCCGAGCCCACGCTGCCCGCAGCAGCCCCCCACCCCGCATTCCGGCCCCCAGCCTGGCGGTCCCTCCGTCTCACTTTGTCTCACGTCTCTGACACTGAGAGAGGAAGTATCATTCTGTAGGAAACCCCTCGGTTTTGTCTGTGTACTTTTTCATCATACGAGGTGCAGGCTGTATTTATGGGAAGAAGTGCACAGCGGTGCCCTGGCGCTCTCCTCGGGGTGCTGCGCGGGGCGGGGGGAGGCGAGGGCCCCGGGGGTGAGCAGGAGCGCTTGTGTGAGGTGGTGTCCGCCAGGCGTCTCCACCGCTTGGCCTCCACTCCTTGTCTTGCGGGAGACGCTCGGATACTGTGCGCGCGGTCTGTCCCCCTCCCGCTCTAGTCCACTGGCCAAGCCCGTGTGCTACCGTTGCTGCTCAGTCTGTTAGTGGTTTTGTATTTCTCTCATGCCTTCCCCACGTAGTAATTGAAATTCTTTATTCTTTGCATCATAGTTCATCATATCATTTCGTTGTTCAAATTTTTCCCGCTTTGGTGATTGGGTCCTTCTCAGATTGGCTCCGGAGCCCTTGAGTTGCCCCCAGCCTATTTGGAGAACTTCTTTCTGGCTCTGCGAGATGTGTCGGGGCCTCCCCAGCCCCACAGTCACGGCTCCAAGCAGCCTGCGTCTGGTGTAAACATACGTTGACAACTTTCATATATGACACATGGTTGTTTGCAGTTATTTCCCAGGAGGCACATACCTCCCCTGGCAGTTCACTGCAGCTCACCGGAGTCACGACCCCCAAGCCACTGGCTTTTTGCAGCAGTTTTCCTGTTGTGCTACACTGCACGTATTCATGTGACCTAGTCGAGTCCCTTCATTAGAGTGTTGTATAAATACAGGCTTGATGTTGGCTGGTTTTTTATTGCTTTTCAGGCAGAGAAGATCATGTTCCCGGTCAGCCTCTATGCCAGAGCTGCCTTACCCGTCCTGCACGGGGCTGCCCCCCCACCCCATCCTGCACAGGACTACCCCCCCCAGTCCTGCACAGAGCTGCCCCCCCACCCATCCTGCATGGGCCTGCCCGCCCATCCTGCATGGAGCTGTCCCTCCCCATTCTGCACGGAGCTATCCCCCCCCCAGTTCTGCACAGAGCTGTCCCCCGTCCTGCACGGAGCTGTCCCCCCCCCAGTCTGCACAGAGCTGCCCCCCCCAGTCCTGCACGGAGCTGCCCCCCATCCTGCACGGAGCTGTCCCCCCCCCTAGTCCTGCACGGAGCTGCCCCCTGCCCACCCCACCTGCATCCTGCTGGTTGTGGAAGGTTTACTGAGGGAACGAGTGTGCGATCCAGGCTCCCCCATCATCCTGGTGCCGTTCCACCCAGGCACCCTACAGCCCGTGGGCTGGGGGTGTCCTCTCCCTCTGCCCGCCCGCCCTCCTGGCTTGTTCGTTGCGAGGGAAGTGTGCTTATGGGAAATGTGCCCAGGCCTTCTTAGATAATCTTTGGGAAGGGATTGGTAGCTTACCTCTTGAAGAGTGTTTTTGCTTATTTGGATTTACTCAATAATACAAGCATTTGAACAGTTAGGATATTGTTTTTAAGTTTTCTTGATATTATAGATGTTCAGTATTGACTTTTGTCTCCCACAGAGAAACCTGCCAAAGAAACCCCCTCCGTACCCGTACCCGGAGAGTCCAGAGGCGATGGTGCACCCCCTCCTGCGGGGGGCGGTCCCCTCAGAGCCGCCGCCGTGCAAACGTGCCTGACGGAGCTGTCCATGGAAATAGAGGGCGACTTCTCTGCCTGTCAGAGTGTGGGCAGAGAGGGGCCCAGCGCAGCTGCTCATGGCCCTGGCCCTGGCCTTGACCCTGACCCTGGCCCTGGCCCTGACCCTGACCCTGACCGCGTGTCTGCCGAGGGCCCGAATCCTGAAGTCTCCGTGCAGAGGAATGACGGGGACAGCGCCAGCTTCTCTGAACGTGATCGCTTTTTTGACGAAGATCTCCAGGCCGCAGTCGACTTCTTCAAACTCCCCCCTCCTCTTTTGTCTCCGGTGCCGTCACCTCCTCTGGCACCCCCTCTGCCGTCCCTGCCACACCTGAGCACCTTACCTTCTTCACTTGCCCCCGTGAGTTTGCACTTTGCATCTGAGCTCTCCTGTGGGCACGTTGCCCTCCCCACCGTGTTCACCGTGCTTGGCGGGAGGCGCTCGTGGTCCCCAGGCTAGGCTTTCCTGGGGACTGAGTGAGAATCCATAGGGTGTGTCTGTGTTCTTGGGACCAGCGTGGGTCTCAGGGGAGGCCTCAGGGAGGCGGGGGCTGGTGGGGACGCTCTGGGAAGACAGGACCCCGCTGGGTGTTCATGAGGGTTGGGGTGTTTCCGGTGGGGCTCGACACAGTTGTGGGACTGAGGGGAGCCGGTGCCAGAGGGCGTTCCCGCCGGCCATCTCTGCTCGGGGCGTCTGGGCCCTCGGGACCTTCCAGCTTATCCTGAGAGCAGTGGCAGGTCCTTGGTGGGTCCCGAGAAGTGGACCTGCTGGGGGGTTTTCATCTGGAAGGTTCCATGTAGCCCCTGTGTGGTGGAGTAGGCAGTGGGGAGAGCCCAGGGGGAGGCGGGGGGAGCCGGCTGACTCAGCAGCTGCGGCCTCCGCGTGTCAGCCCCGCGGCAGCACTGGGGTCCGAGCCGGGGCTGGTTTGAGACCTGCCAGGAGGGCAGCCAGCAGCCTTTGGTGAGGCTTTCAGCCTGGAGGATGGGGAGGCGGAGTCAGGGTTGCGGGAAAACCCAGGGAAGGGGAAACCCTGCGGGGGCGGAAAGGCGCCGCGTCAGGTGTGGATGTGGGTGTGGACACGTGCAGTGTGATGTCAGAGCCACAGGTGTGCGCGGGGCTGGGACGTCTTTCAGTGGTTGGGGTCCCAGGGGCCCGTCCGCCCGTGTGTGAGCACACCGAAGAGGCCGGGAGGCCAGGGGAGCGTGGCGGAACATGAGGAGCAGCAGATGGAAGCGCCCAGGCTCTCAGGGGTTGTTAGTGCGTGAGTGTGCGTCCGCGCCGTCCCTCCCCGGGCCGTGGTCTCCCGTGTAGAATGAGGCCCCGCGGCCTCCTGGGGGGGCTGCGTGATGGGGGCCAGTTCACCCCAGGCTGCGGAGCCGCCCGGGTGGCGAAGGGCTTCTGGAGCAGAAGTGGAGAGCAGTGTCGGCACGGCTGACTGAGGGGAGCCTGTCCGCTCAGCCTGGCGGGTTGGGGGCTGTGGACACGAGATGCCTACCTGGCGTCACCAGAGTGGGGGCCTGGCGCACCGCCTTCAGGGGTTGCCCTGGGCTGGAGCCGGACACCTGTGCCACAGCGACCTGGAAGCCGGGGACCAGAGGGCCTTGAGGCAGGGGTCAGAAACCCTTGTGCCAGATGGAGGGGAAGAGCTGGAGAGGAGGAGGTGCGGGGGCCTGAGGAGAGCAGAGGAGTCCCGGGCTGCGAGGTGTGGGAGGAGCCGGCGGTGGCGGGGCTCTGGGAGGCGGCCAGGCTGTGCTGTCTGTGCTCCCCTGAGCCTCGCCTCTCGCCTGGGGGCTGCGCCCAAGGACCTGCTCTTTCTGCAGATGGCCTTCAGGGCTCTGCTGTGACGTGTGTCCTGGCGGATGGGCTTCGGGGCCCTGCTGTGACGTGTGTCCTGGCGGATGGGCTTCGGGGCCCTGCTGTGACGTGTGTCCTCGCGGATGGGCTTCGGGGCCCTGCTGTGACGTGTGTCCTGCGAATGGGCTTCGGGGCTCTGCTGTGACGTGTGTCCTCGCGGATGGGCTTCGGTGCTCTTCAGGAAGCAAGGGTGTGTTCTGTGATGCATTTAAGTGATAGTTACGTTCACTCGGCTCAGTTTAACTAATGAGAATAACTCCTTTCTTTTTAAGGAAACCTACTTTGGCGACTCTACCGATTCCAGTGATGATGAGTCATCCCAGCCTGGAAAGTCTGCTGCGTCTGTTTCGGAAGACGAGGCGCCTGCATCACGTTACTTTGGCTCATCCAGGAAAAGTGAAGGCAACAGGGATACGTGGGAGCAGACGCTCACTTCACGTGAAGCCACCCGAGCTCTGACTATGTTGGGAGTAAATGAAGTGACAGCGCTTGGGTTTGGGACAGTTGCAGCAGCCCTGAGGGAGCCTTCAGTGACTCGCTCCTTCACTCACCAGGAACCCTGGGCAGTGTCCTCTGAACCCACAGGTGACGGGAAGAGAGGCATTTTAGACGAGGCACAGAGACACAGAGAGGGTAGGGAAGTGGACAAGTCGGTGCAGACTGAGAGCACACTCGATGGCACCCTCGGAAGCGTGCACGTGGGGATGTCCAGCAGCCGGCACCAGGACGGGGCAGCGGCCCTCTGCACTGCTGATGGGCGCCACCCCCCCCTCGGCAGCAGACCATTCAGTGAGCTCGTGGAATCCGAAGGAAAAACCCTACTGTCCGAAATGATAGGATCACCCACATCACAGTTTACTGCATGGCCACTAACTAACGACATCCCTCTTGAATCACATCACGTGTCCATTTCTGACCACTTTCAGGGAATGTGTGGGGTATTGGGAAAAGACAGAGATGTTCGAAGGTTCATTTTAGGAGCCTCGCCTGAACCCGCAGACGACGCGGGTCATGCGGTGGGCACCACGGGACCTGGTGTTGACGCCAGGCCTCCCTCCTCTTCTACCTCGCGAGCGTCGTCTGTCTGCAGTGACTCCCAGCCTTTCTCTGATACACACATTCTTGACACAGCCCCTGCCGAGCTGCAGCTCTCAGAACACAGGTTACAAGCTGAAGCCTTCTCCCTGCTAGGCCTGCAGCCTGAGCCCGCAGAGTGCCCTGCTGGAGGGAACTGTCTGGAAAAGAGCTCGTGTGCTTTGAGCCCTGAGTTGGGAACATCAGATTCTAATAATCTAAGTAGCAGTGCGGTCAAGTGCACAAACCTTGTGAAAGGCGGGCCCGGAGTCTGCTCGCTTCCACAGTCAGTATTTATAAAAGCTATGAAAGAGGCGCAGTGTCAAAGTCAGGCTCCAAGAACTGAGGCCACCCTGACGAGGGCGGATTCCACGTCGTTGGCAGAGTCTCCGTGCAGCTTGACCAAGAGTGGGTTTGGTCTCACTAAAAGCCCCTCCTGGCACCACAGTGACCTGTTAAGGAGAGGGAGTGAGGAAAGGCTGAGAGCTCAGTCAGAACACGAACAGCAGCCTGACCGCCAGTCTCAAAAGGCAGCTCCGGCCTTGGACAACAGGGGCCCGGCGTCCCAGCCTGAGGCTGCCAGAGAAAACAACCGTGTGGGGCTCGGGGCCGCCGCAGCGCTGTTGCCTAACCAGGTGTCGGTGATCACCAAGCAGGCCAGGGCCGGCGCAGCGCATGGCCCCAGATCGGAGCCCCGGGGACCGCAGGGGACCGACCCCGTCTTCATGGTGGCATCTGTAGCGGGACGTGGCGGAGAGAGAGAGGACCCTGCCCGAAATATGCCGGCAGTGGCTGCTCCAGGGGGGACCTCGCCCCAAGTTTCTGCCTCAAGGAGAAAACTAGATTTCAGTTGTCCAAGCGGTTCTTTACCTGTAGAAAGTTCTCAGTGTTCCACCAGTAGCAAACCGTCTTTCTCCTGTGAAAACATCCCAGTACCAAAGCAGGACGTCCTGGCGGGAGCCTCAGCACAGGAAGCGGTGCAGGAGCCGGGCCTGCTCCTCCGGGCCCCGGGGCTGGGCTCGTCCCGGCCGGCCGTGGGTGGGCGCCTTCCACCCGCGCCTGCGGCGAGAAGCTTTCCTGCTGGAGAAGCGCCGTGTGGGGGCTCGGTCACATCTGGCGGGGAGGCCCCGGCCGTCTCCCAGGACCCTGCCAGCGGGCGGCAGAGCCTGAAGGGGTCCCTGGAGCTGCCATCGCGGGCTCCGGGCGCTACTTCTCCTGAAGACCCTGGCACCACGGGGACGGCGAGTCTCAGGAAAGACGGAGAGACGCGCGGGGGCCCCCAGGGCGGCCTGGCCGTGGCTCCGTGCTGTTACACGGGCATCCGGGAGGCGGCAGGGGGCGACACAGAGGTGGAGGAGAGTGAGGCGCCCAGTGGCAGCGAGGGCGAGAGTGAGCCCGAGGCCCTGATGGGGGACGCCCCGCTCGGGGCCGCCGGCGCCCCCAGGGAAGGAGTGGGAGCCCTGGAGGCCGGCGCGGCGGAGAGCAGGCCTTCCGTGGAGGTGGGGTGCCTGACGTCGGCCCTGCAGGACTTCAACATCAGTACTCTCTCGGAGATAGACGGCCTTTCTACGTCCGAGGTCGTTATGTTTCTTGAGAGTTGTCAGCTGAGAGATTATAGCTCGGGGGACTCTGTTTCCGAGTGTTCTAGCAAAGGAACCCTGAGTAAGGAAATGAGCAAAGAATTGAAGCAAGGCGAGCTCTCAGGAGAAAAGTACAGGAAGCAGCTCTGTGAAGAAGAGGCGCTTGAGGCCTCGGAGGGGTGGGTCGAGTCTGACGAGGAGGTCGGGCCCCTGCGGGGCGCGCCGCGGCTCTCCCGGCGCTCCCTGGAGACGCTGTCTGAGGTCCTCAACACGATTGGCCAGGAGCTTGAGGCCTCCCCTGGCAAAGATGCTACGGATTTCATGCTCCTCAATATGCACGAGGCCGGGGCCGCCGGGCCTGCCGGAGAGCACAGCCCACCTCAGGAAGCCCAGTGCCTCGCGCCACACCCCTCAGGTTCGCCCCCTGCGGCCGCCACGGACGGCTCCCCCGGCAGCGGGGCCGCGGGGGACAGAAACGCTCCCGGCGGCCCTGAGGCTGACTTGCACCTCAGCAGCCTGATTGGTGGGGGGGCAGAGGGCCTGTTGGAAGCGGCGGAGCCCTCACCCCTGCACGCCGACTCCGGAACAGGGCAGACAGCAGAGGCCGGCGCCGAAGGGGAGGCAGAAACGACATTCCAGTGCCAGATCTCCACAGTGACCTCCAAAGTCATAAACGTGCTGATCAACAAGGATCAGAATCTGGTCATTGAGAAGGGGGACCACTGGACTATCATCAATGGGGTAGCTCTCATGCCAAACGTGGACCAGGTTATACTGTGTGACTCGCCCGAGGACCTCCCTGTGTCCCCGGAGCCAGGAGCCCCGGGAGCTGGTTTCATTTCCATCACTGCCGTGGACGAGCCCCCAGAAACCGAGCAGCCCGGCCCCGCATTTCTGGAGCCCCAGGGCACCAGCCCCGCATTTCCGGAGCCCCAGGGCGCCAGCCCCGCGAGTGCCCAGGAGGAGATCTCCGGCAGCAGTCAGAGCACCAACTTCGATAAGAGTCGTTTGCGCAATCGGCCGGTCAAACCTAGTGTGAGGCTCAGCTCCGAAATCTACGACCAGAACTTTGAGTCTCAGGTGGTTGCGTCTGATCACACGTATTTTAACTCAAAACTAGAGCCATTCGGGAAGAATAAGAATCGATCAAAGGTGTCCAGCAAAGATCAGTCAAACAAGCCAGCCAAGACGTCAGCATCAAGCCGAGTTGAAGCTAATCCGAGTGAAGGCTCCCAGTCATTTCCAGGGGAGAGAGAGAACACAAAGACCCAGAGAAACCAAGCTCAGACCATCCTAGCCAACGCGGACACGTCGACCCCCACAGACTCTTCTGACACCCTGAGTAAGATACGGCAGGAGGTGGGGCCCCCTCTGCCACCCTTGCTCGCCCCTTTGGTTGCTACCCCCCCACGGACGTCCCAGCTGGTGTCTCCTCTGATAGCTGCTTCCTCTCCCCCCTCCCCTGCCTCTCCGATCGGCCCCCTGTCTCCCTTGTGTGAGATCCCAGTGCCTCCCATGATGTCCCCTTTGCCAGAGGAGCCTGGATGCCCCTCGCCCCCGTGCACGTCTCCATCCCCATCCACCGCACCAGCCGGCGAGAGGATCCTGTCCTCCCCTCTGCAGTTCTGCGCTGCGACGCCAAAGCATGCCCTGCCCGTGCCGGGCCGCCTGCCCCCTTTCGCTCCTGCCCACTCGGCCGTGGCCGGGCCCCAGGAGAATTCGGTCAGAATCCTGGACACCATGTACCCAGAGTTGTCGGCCAGGGCCCGCACCCTTAACATCCTCAAAGGGAACATCCAGCTCACTCGGGGCCCGCCTGCCGACTGCAAGAACTTACCAGGGCCCGTCAGCGCCATCACGGGATTCAAAGCAATCACATCAACATCAACCGCCTTTGTGAAAACGGGGGGCAGCTCTGGGGGCGACTCTGATCAGGATAGGCCGAGAGATGCGGGGACTCACCAGGACTCCGGTGGGAAAAGGACGTTGTCTGCAGCTACGCTGAGGAGCGCCAAGAGATTGCGGCTGGATGGTGGGTCCCCAGAACCAGAGCCTGGGAGCAGCACCACGGAAGGAGTCCCCAGGACCCCCCGAAGGGGCCTCCCTCAGGCTGACGGCCCGGCGACGGAGGAGGAGCGAGGTGCTCTTCTCACGGTCAGCACCGCCTCCCAGGTGCCTCCAAACCCGAAGGAAACGGTAGAGTCCCACGACAAAGCCATAGCGGACGCGCTGAAGAAGATCGCGGAGTCCTCCTTTGACCTCCTGCCTGTCATTCGGAGTCACGTGTATGTGGGAAACATCTCCAAAAAGCCCGTAATGAGAGATCAGGAGAAGGAGGTCGTGTATGAGTTTAGCACAACCAAAAAGGTACGTGGAACTTTTCTGTGAGAGCATGAGGGGCTGCATGTGCTCAGAGACAGGCTGGCTGCTGTCAGCACGGGGCAAGGTTACTTTGAACAGAAATTTCATCCCAGGGGTGGACAGTGACCCGTGTAAACGTTGTGGCCTGGACTCGGTTTCTGGTCAGCACATTACACACGTGTGATGTGATAAAGCAGTGGAGATTTGAGCACTTGTGTTTGTCAAATACTTTACAGTTTGGGAGATAAAAAGTGTCCGTCAGGACTGCAGTTGCACGTTTTCTGTCCGTTCTACTATGTTGAAAGGCTCAAAATGATTTGCCTCAAAGCAGCAAATTATTCTCGTGTAGCGGAGCCTTTCTGTCCCGTGAGTAGCACTGTGTGCACACCTGAGAGTGAGCATCTTTCAGGAAGATAGCGCGGGGCCCCCGTCCCTCCCGTGACGTACGCCGTGTGTGAAGCAGGACAACGTGCGGCTTCTGGCGGGGAGGACAGGAGGGGAGCCCGTGCCCACTGACACACGTGGTTTACTATGGCTTCCCAGGGTCGTGTCCTCGAAGTGCCCATGTCGACGGCTCGAGCGGATTGCTTCCTGGCCCGTGAACCCCATATTGCTCGTCCTTGCACATCCCTGCAGTGGGAGTGGTAGGAACACCACTCCCTACCAGGGAAAGGGTGGGTTGGAAAGCGGGTAGTTTTCCTAGATCGCATACTTTCAGAAAGCACAAAGAGCAGTACGCGTGGCTTTGAAAAGTTCATTTTCAGATGAACAAACGGATCAAATTACTTAACGCCCTCCTTCCTGAGTGAGAAAAAACGTCGCCCAGTGGTTTTAAGATCTGAGCAGGATTAACGCGTAGAACCCACCGGAGTTCAGGAAACATAGGAGTGGGTCAGAGTCCGTGTGACACACGCGGAGAACTGCTTAGCGAAAACCAGGGAAGTGGGCTTTGGTGGCGGCTTCAGGGACCCAGGTGCACTCAGGCATGGCCCGTGGCACCCACAGGCAGCCCACAGCCGTGGCCCCTGAGCCCCCGGCACGCGGCTCGCTGGGCCGATGGGGGAGGTTGTCCTGCACGGTCAGACAGTCAGTGCTGTCCTCTACCCGCTGTTACAGGGCCGCTCGTATGCTCCTTGCAGAGACTCAGCTTCGTAACTTTTAGCCCTTCCTTAGTAAGAGAGAGAAATAGCAGTGAATGTTGCCTTTTCTTTTTGTTTTTCCACCCAGCATCTAGCAGAGTGCTTGCTTCACTCCATTCTCTCAGAACTGAAGATCCAGAAGATCTCTCTGGAACGCAGTTACATCCATGCGCTCTGCAGAGTGTACGTGGGAATATGCCGGCAGCTGGGGGACCTGGAGCGCGCCCGCCTGTTCTGCTACAGCCTGCTGAAGGAAGGTGCGTCGGCGTGGGGGTCGCTGCGCGGGCGTTCACACGTTCACCTCGTCACGCTCGGGTCTGTGCCTGCAGCTGACTGATCACTGTGTATCTTGCAAGTACACAAAATGTTCGTGCGTTTCCCCGAGGCCTTGAAGAACCTTAGCCGGATGAAGCCGTGCCTGGTTTTCCGGGGGGAAGTTACGTGGCTGACGTCGTATTAGCACATGCGTTTCCATTCGAATGTAGGGTGTGTCTCATTCCTGCGTGTCGGTCTGTTCTTAGTGCGGCTACTCCAGGGTCAGGGTAGGCCCCACAGGGTGAGGGGACGGCCTTAAAGTCGGCGACAGCTTGTGCTGCTGTGTCCCTGCTGGAAAGGGCAGCACGCCTAAGCCCACAGGACGAGGACCAGAGACACGTGGACTCCTAGGAGGGCTGTCCCAGCCCCTTGCCCCCCACTCCTTCCGTCTCCATGCACAGTTCAGCGTGGAAGCCTCCTTTGTGGCTGCACGGCATCCGTGGAAACGTTTGGGAGCACTGAAACCACGTGCAGATGCAATTTCATGGCATGTCAGAAAGTCTGATCCAGGTCATGAAGGTTTTCTTTTTTGATAACTGAATTTTATTGTCAAGTGGACATGTATTTCATTATGAATGGCCTGTACTGTTTTTTAAAATATAAGTTATTGTCAAATTGACCAACATACAAAAGATCTGGAAGGCCTCACGAATTTGCGTGGATCCTCACGCAGGGGCCGTGCTAATCTTCTCTCAGTCGTCCCGAGCGCAATGTGTGTGCTGCCAAAGTGAGCACTGCACCGTGGAGGTTGTTAATCCCGACAGTGCCGTGTGGGGCTCGCCCACCACGCACGGAGCTGCGAGCGAGGCTGCTGTCCATCGCCCCCTTCATCACGTTATTCACTCTGCGGGCCCCGCACTCCTCAACGGCGGTAGCAGGGTGCATGCCAGGCCTCGGGGCTCCAGCGGTGAGCACAGCCTGATGCGGGTGCGCGTGTCAGCGTGACCCCGCTTGCCAGGGCCTCGGCGGCCGTCTGCGTGCAACCTGAACCCCGCCAGGGTCCAGCGCTCTTCCCTCGGGCCCCTGGGGCTCGGCTTTCTCCCCTGGGAAGCCTCCCCTCCAGGTTTCTTGGGGCTCACGTGGCTACCTCCCGCACGGACTCCTGCGGTCTTTCTTTCCCCCCTGCATTCTCCTGGCTCTTACCCCCTCCCACATTCCCGGTGTGTGGTCTTTCTCCCCCACTGGGTCGCATACTCTGCAAGGGAGGAGCTTTGCCTTGCCCCCGCTCGTCCCGACCACAGAGCAGTGTGCTGTCCACAGTCACGGAGTATCTGTTGAAGGAACGAACGAAGAGCGCTGTGGAAGGAAGATTTATGAGTGTGGGCTCAGAGGAGCTGTCCTTGTCAGAGTGACTTTGGAACTCGAAGTGGCAAGATGCCACAGAGTGCATCCGAGAAAAGCGAGAGAATGCCAGGCAGAGGAAGCAGCATGTGCAGAGGTCCAGGGGCAGGATCCAAGATTTCATAAAGAATAGATCAAGATAGTATAGTGAGCTTATGCTTTGGGTTAATCTGCTCTTTAAACACACTCCAGTGTTAGATGAAATAGAACAGAATACCTGAGAGATGCACTTCCTGCCCAACAGGGTAAAAGTGTGTGTTCCTGGTTCAGCCACATTGCAGACCACTGACAGTTTCTTGTAAAATTAAAATAATTGACTTATCAAGTGGCCCAGGAACCCCACTCCCAGGTCCTTATCTAACAGAAGAAGAGACGTATCTTCACTAGACGGGCCCACAGTCATTCACAGCACCTTCATGTGCCGTGGCCCGTGGCTGGAAGCACAGGCCCGCCAGCAGGTGAATGAGGAGCAGGTGTGCTGTGTCCGGCCAATGGCCGCCGCTGGGCCGTGCAGCGAGGGACGGCTGACGTGTGGCACCAGCGGTGAACCGCAGAGTCATTCTGTGGAGTCGGGGGCCGGACAGAAAGTCTGAGCTGCTGTCAGACTCCACTTGTAAACACTTGAGAGGAAGCAGCTAAGCAGACCAGGGCTGTCCATATCTGGGACTAAGGAACGCACTGGAAAGGGTTAGACTGTGGGAGTCTGGGGTGACGGTAATGCTCTTAAATTGACTGTGGTGGGGGCTGCACGGATGTATCCATTCATCACACCGTCTGCTTGAAAAGAGTGTGTTCTGCCGTGTGTGAGCTGGGCTGGCTTAGGCGGACTAGGCAGCCAGATGCGGGCAGCAGCACCCGCATCACAGAACAGGATGGCTCTCCGCAGGGTAGAGCCGCGTCTGCAGATGGAAAGCCTTTTCTGTGTTGCACAGGTGAGTTGTGTCTTATGGATGCATAAAAAGCTGGCCTGAGAGGCCGGTTAACAAATGGGAAGCTTCTAGGGTCACAGAGTCTGGAGAGGGAGGTTTACCTTTGCTTCATGTTTTGGATTTTATGGCTCTTTTCATAATTCAGCGGGGTATGTGAGGGGTCATGTTTCAGATGTAATTAGGAAGGTTTGCCAGAGTGAAGGGCTTAGGGGAGAAGGAAGCAGATCGTGAAACAACCACGGCCGGGGCCTCTCCGCACCCCCCCACCTTCAGTGTTTGGAGGCCTTGCAAGGCACAAGCAGCGTTACTGGAATCTGTTCTTAGCTCCTAGTTTATTCACTTGAGCTGATGTAAAGGTTTATTATCTGTCTTTCTTTCTCATAGATTTTCCAGAATCCGAAAAATTGACTTTGTTCATTGCAAACATGTGGCATGATATATTTATTTCCCAGTCGGTGATTAATAAGGCAATGCAACTGGTCGCCAGGCAGCGTGCTAAAGGAGAGGTTCGCAACTGTCTGAGAGCATTTCTCAACTGGGAAAAGGTGAGGTTGGCTTTTATTTCTTGCTGTAACCGTGCTTGTAGACCTTACATGATTCTCACCCGGCTCTACATTTGGGGTTGTACTAGTTCATCAGTAGTTCAGAGACCTACATTCCTCTGTGTATTAGAGCCTCTAAAATCTCATTTTAGCCGAAGCTTATGCGTTTAGTTCAGAAAATCTGCATGGGCCCCTCTGGGAAGAATTGTACACTTACATGTTGTGTTAATTTAACAAAAGTTTCTTTTGTCCACTGATTTACGGATGAAGTCCATGTGTAACGTGTGTGTGGGTGCAGGGCTCAGAGAGGCCGATAGAGCATTTCCTTCTACAGTAGGTACTGGTAGAGGCGAAAAAATGGTGAGGTAAAAATTTTCAAAAATTTCAACTCCTTGTTTTGATTTTTCTGAATCTATACTCTTTTTTCCCCCTTTTGGTTGATGGGGTTTTTATGTAAGTATTTTGTTCCTGTGTGCTTATTTGGCAGCTGAGTGCTGATGTGGCGTCTAGATTGGTGCTCCTGTATACACAGCTGCCAGCTAGTGAGGGCCTCTGCATGTTGACTTGACCGTGGGAAACTTGAAGAAGAGATGTTGAGTTCAGTGAGGGGTTGACTTTGGTTTGTTTTTAAACTATTGTGTATTAATTTCCTCTTAAAATTATCCAGGCTTATGCACACAGTGGAGTTTTATATGCCTTTTTGCTTTCCTATTTAGTACCTTTTGATATTACTGTTCATTAGACTTCTATTTTCTTGTGAAAAGGAAAGGAAAGGGCTATTGGTGGGTAAACGTTAAGGAAATATTTAAAAGCAAGTCTGTTATCATCTGTTTAACAACTTGTGTAAACAAAGCAGAGTGTAGTCCTGGGGAGGCATCGTCAGATTCAGATCAGTCACTGAGTCAGAAGGGCCCTTCCATCTCCTGCCATTGACCGTGATGGCCACCGTCACCTCCCCCCCCCCAACCCCCACCCCAGGTCCCTGCAGGGCCACATGCCTCTGCCTGGTTTTCCTCCTCTGGCGTGTTCAGGATGAAACCAAATATGGTGATTTGATGATAAAAGACATTCTTTATGATTTTAGTGAATGTGTTTGCACTGTATCGTATCAAATAAGAGTATCAAGTGAAAGGTATAACAAAAATGAGTGATACTTGGGGGCAGAATGCAAGTGTAGTCCAAGACTTCCAGATTTTCTCTCACAGAGTTCAACTGATCAGAAAGAAAGGAGAATAGACATAGTGGAATTCAGTAATACACAAAGTTAACTTGAATGAAAAGTACGTAATCCTGTAGCACATGTACAAAACCCATCATGAATTTGGCCACATGAAAATCTGAATTTTTAAAAAGTGAAGATTCCTTTGGGACCTGGCTTAGTCGGTTGAGCGTCCTACTTGGCTCAGGTCATGATCTCATGGTTTGTGAGTTCGAGCCCCACACCAGCGTCTGTGCTGACAGCTCAGAGCCTGGGGCCTGCTTTGGATTCTGTGTCTCCCTCTCTGCCCCTTCCCCACTCACACTGTCTCTGTCTGTCTCAAAAAGAAATAAACATTTAAAAAAAATTTAAAAGTGAAGATTCCATATTCAAAACTCTCTGTTAGTAATTCAGTGAAATTTTCTATAAATAATTCAGAGCGTCCATAAATACTACTTGAAAGTTGACGAATATTATCCTGGACACTTGGGGACAATTGGGGAAGAAGTAGGAGCTGAAATGTAAAATCAGAGTTTTGAAAGTCATAAAGGAAACCCCTTCATACCAAAGATCTCTAATGTTTGGGAAATTATACTCACTGTAATAATTTAAATACTTTCATTAAGAAACAAATAATAAAGTGGTTGACAGTTATTTTTAAAAAATTAAAAATCTGAGGGGCGCCTGGGTGGCTCAGTTGGTTAAGTGTCCGACTTTGGCTCAGGTCATGATCTCACAGTTTGTGGGTTCGAGCCCCACGTTGGGCTCTGTGCTGACAGCTCAGAGCCTGGAGCCTGTTTCAGATTCTGTGTCTCCGTCTCTCTCTGACCCTCCCCTGCTCATGCTCTGTCTTTCTCTGTCTCAAAAATAAATAAACTATTAAAAAAAACTAAAAATCTGAGAAGGAATCGTAAAAAAAAAAAAAAAAACCCGAAAACCTAATATAGCTTAAAAGGTAATAGTAATGAAGCAGAGAACAAAAAGAAAACACGTAGAAGGAAAACACATTGCTTTTAAAAAGTGGTAACAAAATAGATAGCTCCCAGGTCAGGTTAATGAAATAAGAGGAAAGGGAAAACATTGAAGATGTCAAAATGAGAAGGAAACTGGAGCTGTGGTCGGAGGGTGAGGGGTGTGGGGAGACCGTAGCCACATGTGAGGCAGCAGGTTTGGAGGCCAAGGATGATTTGTGACAAAATAAACAGCTTCAGATTTGGTTTTGGGGTCGAACACTTGAAGAAACATTGTTTTCAGTTAACTTTTATAAAAAAAGGTGGAAAAGTTGATATAAAACATAAAAAGCCTGTATAGGCTCCACCTGAATTTTGCCTCATCTTTTAAAGAACCAAGTTATTGAGTCTTTTCCAATATAAGAAAAGGTTGAAGGCTTCGTGTTTCTTTTTAATAATAAAACCCAATAGAAAATAGGACGAGAAAGGAAAAATTATAGGTCCACTGTTAGGTATTTATCCAAGAGAAGTCAGATTAATGTCCATACGAAGACTTGTACATGTGCGTTCTTGTGCATCACCTAGGCTGGAATAGCCCAGATGTCTGCCAGGAGGTGAGTGGGTGAGCAGCCGGGTCTGTAGTGTAATGAACTATTCAGTAGCAAGGAGGGGCGGGGCGTTCAGCCCTCCAGCAGGTGCAAGGACATGGGTAACGAGCCACAAATTTGCGCAGGGGGGACAGAAGCCAGACGAAGGAGTCTGGAACCGGATAGCTAAATTTTAGGAATTTCTGTAACAAGACTGATACCTAGGGTCAGAAAGATGTTAGACTTTAAAGAACTTCTTTAAAGTTAAAAATTTATTATAACTTTAGTTCTGTGATTTGCAGTCGTGAAAATTTGCATTTCTGCCTGGACTGCAGCCAATCTGTTTTCTACCTGACCCGATTCTGCATCGTGCCTGGAGCCTTGTTTTCTGGCCTGCCTCCCACCACACTTACAGTCAGTTTACGACAAGTATTAGGACTAAGATAAACATAGCTGCTTATTCAAACTCAGCTTTCAAAAGGTGTCTCTTAAAATTAAATGATCATTTGTGTGATGCTTGTTACACTCGAGATTACAAATGAGCGATGTGTTACGTTTGAAACTCTAAATTGTATTTTGGGTTTTTTTCCTTTTTCATTTGCTAGAATGCTCCTGTGGATGTGGGTTTCATGGTTTCTAAGCTGCTTTTGACCATACAGCTGTGTCCAAAAACAGAATTTCAGTCCAGTGAAAAATTTGGCGAAGACCTGAGTGATAACACCTGGGAGTACATATTTGCCATTGACCTGCTGTGCTGCCACCAGCGGTGGATTTGGACGCATGACAACATCATCAGGTACCCGGCCACTTCGTGGATGTAGCATTGGGGTGCTGGGTGGGAAGCTGCTGACTTTGGTTCGAACAGATTTTGCTGTTGAAGGCAGCGGAATCATGTGCAGATGACATTTTGATTTGGTTAAGAGTGAAACTGCCCTTGAAGGACGTGTATTTCACATCCGTTTGCTTTATTTTTTTTGTGGAACCTGTCACTCCTCAGTAGGTTGTTTTACGACCGTTTCTCTCCCAAGGAGAATCGAGTCTCTGGGGGAGAGGTTGGGGTCCCCCGCGTCTCCTGGCCTGCAGAGCAGTGCCCCCCAAGGGAAGGTCAGCGAGTAGCAGGGTGATGGAACGATCGTACCTCAACATTCACATACTCGGGAAAACCCACGTGAACAGGCAGAGTAAGAGTTCGGGTTAGCAGCTCTTCTCACCTGGGGTTTCAGGAGAGAGGAAGTCTGTGGCGTCTGTTTTGTGTAATGAATCCTCCTTTCTCTGGGCTTGGAGAATCCTGGCACCAGCAACGTGCCATCTTTGGGAGAACGGGAGATGGGAGGAAGGAGAAAATCGTCACTCAAATAATTGTTCTTATTAGATCTTAACTTTCTTAGAACCCGGACTTAGAAAGATTGGGGGTTTTTTGGGTCTTTCGATTTTTTTTTTGAGAGTGAGTGTGTTTGCCGGGGGTGGGAGGGGGGCAGTGGGGAGGGCAGAGGGAAAGGGAGAATCCCAAGCCGACTCTGTACTGTCAGCACAGAGCCCAACGCAGGCCTCGTTCCCATGAACCATGAGATCGTGACCTGAGCCAAAATCAAGAGTTGGACGCTTTAGCCGACTGAGCCCCCCAGGCGCCCCCAAAAGGCTGGTTTAAAAGAATTTATGACATTGAAAAGGATCCACAAAGGATTGATAGTACATATCCTAGAGATACTTGCTTATGATCTCTGGAAAAGCATACTCTCTTTTTTTCTTCTTAACACTAGGGAAAGAGTAGCCGTCTGCCAGGGAAACAGGAGAGAATCGGATGGTGGTACCTGTGTAATGAGGCACAGCTGTGTTAAGATAAATAGCTGCAAACGGATGTTCAGGTATTGACATGACGGCATCTCACAGTCCTTTGCTAACGAGTAAGGATGTGACAGCCGTCTGGTGCCATCTGTAAAGGCACACATGCCTCGTGTGGGCCTCATCTCCTGGCTCTTGGTGGGAGCCCCATGGGTAGGGTGACAGACCACGGACGTGGTCCTGGTCAGTAGTGCTCTGGCCGGGTCCCGCCCTGGGCATGAGGGCAGAGTGCTGTAGACCAAGACCTCCGCCTGAGCAAGTCCAGACCAGGACCCCTCAGGGCTGTGCTCACCCTCACCAGGTGTTCTGCACGTGCACATAAGGAAGCAGGTGGAAGGAAAGGTCCAGAGTTAGTGGAGTAATACCATCTGCAGGTACGTCATGCGGGGCACCTGTAAGTGACATTTTTCTCCTGTGTGTCGTCATGCAGCTTTTCTAATACTGCAAATGCTGTTAAGAAGGAAATCTGTTTTTGGAAGGAGAGAAAGCAAAGAGGAATTGGTGGTGGTTTCAGTCAGGAGAGAGTTTCTCAGGTGAGGACGTGCTGGGCTCCTAGAACAAGGTGCCCCGTGCACATCCCGAAGGCGCCAGCAGAAATCCCGACCCCGCCTCCCCGTTCTGAGATCCGGAGACGTTGTGCAGCCTCTCTGCTCAGAGCCTTGAGAAGAGGGTGAACACCAAGTCAGGGTGCGAGCCTGGGTGTTGGTGCCCTCGTGCAAGCCAGCGTGGGCGCAGTGTCCTGGGCCGTTGGAGGGTGTGTGAGCTTCCCGTCTCTTCCCATCTTAACCTGAAAACTTACATCTTCAGAAGTCCCTCTTCGTGGGCGTCTGGCTGGCTCAGTTGGTACAGTGTGCACCTCATGATCTCAGGGTTGTGAGTTCGAGCCCCACGTTGGGTGTGGAGCCTACTTTTAAAAATAAATAAAATTTTTTTCTAAAGTCCCTCTTCTTTATTGTCTTTCATGGACCATTTTTAGGTTGTTAACATTTGAGTGGTGCCGTGTGTATGTTCTTTTCCTACACGTGTACATAAACATGTGCTGTTACTGTTTCGTAGTAAAGAGCTGTGGCCTGTAATGGATAAGTGGATAAAATACCGAAAAGGACACGCAAACATCGCATATACTCCTGACATTATTATAGCATCGATTCTGAGGCTGATTGGTGAGTTGTCTGTTTTATTAAGCTCTTTCTTCTTACTGATATTGTTATTGAGCACATCTGTGTAGGGAATAGAGGTATAGGAATGTACGCTGACTGAAACTTCACCATGAGGAGTGACCTTACCGTCATCAGAGTAGATATTTTCTCTTACGGACTCCGGTTTTCCCCTGCTCTGTCAGAGGTGACGTCCCCGTGCCGGCACACTGTGTGTGACTGAGCGCGCGCTCCCCAGTCCGTGCTGTTCGCAGCACACGTGCGCACGCTGCCACACGGAGTCGCTGTACACGACGCTCTGGTCTCCTCTGGTTTCTAAACTCGGTGTCTCCCGCCACGCAGCGAGGGTCCTTCCTGTTTGCCCAGCAGGGTCCGTCCTGCAGTTCCGGGCCTGGGGAGCAGCTTTGTTTTCCTCCAAGCTGACACGTAGAAATTAAAATCATTGTCTAACCGTATTTTAAATAGGCATAGATTCTTCTCCATCTCCAGTAAGGAGGACCTCAGTGGCTTTTTGGTGCTGCGCCTCCCTGTCACCTACAAATTGTTAACGTCTTAGCTTTACTCATTTTTTTCCTCTCTGCCTCATCTGTGACACGGTGCCCTCCAAGCCCTGTGGGTTACCCGTGATGAGCCTGTAACTTGTGGAAGGCTCTCCTGACTTCTCCGTCTGCATGCGTAGCATGGCCCCGGGGGGCTCAGCAGACAGGGTCCATCTGACAGCCTGTGTGGTAGCCCCTCAGATCCTGGAAGGTGTTTCCTGTGACTTTTCAGGGTCTCTGGAGTTTGATTACCTAGAACTTCAGTAATCACTTAGACCGTGCCACAGGAGAGAAGGTTCAAGAGTATTATTTAGGTTGTCTGAGGGAGTCTTCTACACAGATCTGCCTGTGGCTGCTTTGCTTACCGTCTCAGCTGGGAGCCATTCCTGCTCTGTGCCTCCTGCACACGCAAACCTAAGAACCTTGTGCTAAGCAAGTGTGTAAAATGGGTCAAGACGGCAACCTGCTTTCCAGGAAGACCAGTTTCACTGGAAATGACTGAAAATACTCTTGGAGTGAAGTGTGCGAGCCCAGGGAGTGTCCGCGGCCATGGAGGGGGAGAGCCGCATGCAGAGGTGAATAGAGGTGCGGACGCGGGGCGGGCGAGCCGCTCTAGGGGGGCACTGCCGCCACACGTGTGCCACAGCGCTCCCTCTCGGGCCCCCGGAACAGTGTGCGTCCTCAGCGGGAAGCAGGAAGGACACGAGGGCCACGGACGGCAGGCGGGAGGCCTGTGTGTCTGCACGTTCTCCTGTCAATAGCAGCTTCTCTTACACATTTGGGAAAAGTGTTCGTAATTTATTTTACATTGAACTAATTTATTTTACCTTGCAAAGCCTTCTGGAAGACAAAACATTAGAAGGTGTTCAGTCTACAAATACACAGATCGACCTCGATAAAGTATCTTTGGGATTTTGAAACGAACACGAACTTTTTGAAGTCACGCTTACAAAATATGGCGTGATTTTTGCCGCTGTTGTTGCAGGAGGTTGTTTGCACACGTGTTGGTTGTAACAAGAGGAAGCAGGCGTGGGAGTGGAGGGCTGCGCCTCTGGTGCTCCCGCGCGGTCCCGTGCACCTGCGGCGGGCCCGGCCTCTCACGTGCTGCGCCCTGCAGCTTGCCCTCGGGGGTCCACGCCTTCCACGTTGGCCGGTCGTCCAGATTCCCTGAGAAGCTTCTTAAAAAAACGTGTGTACTTGTATAATGAAGCCATGTACGATGAAGTTCCGTGTTCCAGGAATAATCGATAGCATGTAATTAACAGCGCAGGATAAAATGGTAATTACAAATTTATAAATGTGGTTCAAAGAATGGATAACTAGGAAGTGATAATGTGAAAATAAGAGCAGAGTCAGGCCTGGAGAATTCTCCTTGGGCCTGCTGACACCCAGGGTGGCCGGACAAGCGTGCCTACCCGAGGCGGGTGTGGACACACAGGGCTGGGGACAGGGGCCAGTGCCAGCCAGGGGCGCTCGGCGTGGCTAGCTGCGGCCATCGGCGGGCGCTGAAGCCATAGTGCCGGGCAAGGGGGGCCGGGGTGGGGGTGGGGGCCGGTGTGGCTCGCTCGTTAGAACAAGCAGAGCTGTGAGAAGTTGTGTCCAGGCCATTTGTGCGTGGACCCCTGCACCCCTGTCCCGTTTGGAGTTTGAACAGTTTCTAAGAAGAACCTCCGTTAGAGGACCTTTGTGCAATTTCCGAGGCTGACGCACTAGAATTTAGCAAATAAGTTGGTAAGCCGTGATTTTAATCATAATGGCACAGCCATCATTCCTCAAATAGAGGAGTTGTCCTTATTTTTATTTTCAAACTTGCAAAACCCTAATGCATTTTCATTCCATGGGAGACAAAAGACGCTTTCTGTCCGGACAGTTCAGGGGTACGTGATGTCTGGTGGGGGTGTGAACAGTGCTGTTAGCAGATGGTCGCACGGGACTATGCAAAGGGGTTTCTTCTAACGTCTCTGAGTGGTAATGTCGTGGGGCATTTTGTGGCGTGTTGGGTTGTTCTCGATCGAGGGGAATGTGGGGAAGCGCCAGAAGCTGCTTCAGTCCACTCATTTCAGGGCAGGGCTGAGGCTAGGGAAGGTCACACGCTCTCATCTGAGGTCTGTCGGTGGGAAGGGGCAGAGCTGAGACTGAAGTCTGTCTGCCACTGGATTCCATTGAGGGCAAAGCTGTGTAGCACCGTTTGCCCCTAACGAGCTTTCGAGTCTCCTGGGGGGCCCACGCGGGGTTTCCTGCGGCCTGGAAGCGAGGGCAGCGCCTCCCACATCGGGTCACCAGGGGTCTGCAGGCCAGGCTGAGGTAGCCACTGCTGCCGGCGTCCACCCGGCCTCTCCCAGGCCTTTCTTCACCTTTTTTTTTTTTTTTAATTTTTTTTTTTTTTTTTTTTTTTTATTTCTAGGAGAGAGAGAGATAGACAGCGTGAACAGGGGAGGGTCAGAGAGAGAGGGAGACACAGACTCTGAAACAGGCTCCAGGCTTTGAGCTGGCTGTCAGCACAGAGCCCGATGCGGGGCTCGAACCCACGATCCACGAGATCATGACCTAAGCGAAAGTCGGACGCTTAACCGACTAAGCCACCCAGGCGCCCCGGCCTTTCCTCACCTTTGCTTTGAAATTGTCTCAAGCCGTGTCTTTCGTAGCGTGCCGCACCTGCACTCCTCAGTGACTCCTAGGGGCTCCTCGGCGGCCCCCACCGGCCCCCAGCTGCCCCCCTCATGCCCCCCTGCGTGCTGGAGAGTGTTGCCTGTGACAGTGAGGCTAACTCTTCATTGCCTACTTGTATCGTCGTGTGGCCGAGCCCCCTGGACCCCCAGTCCTTCTGGGGGGACTGCTCTTCCCACCTGTAGGGCAGGTGTGTCTGTCGTCTTGTCCTCATGTACAAAGTCCTTCCCCCAGGCCTCCTACCTCCGACTCACGGCTGCCTCTTATTTGACCCCTGGTAGCTCTATTAATTTGAAGAGCTTATAAAATCCACTTTATTAGGCACTTGTAATCGAAAGAAAAGGAGGCATTCTGTTATCTGGGAGTACACGCACACCCCAAGGCTGGCCGAGCCCATGTCTGTGTGGCACACGCCCTTCCCCTCCGCGGCTGTCACGTATGTGTTGAGCAGCCGCGTAGATTGTCTCAGAGGACAGGCCGGGGAGCAGACAGTAGTTTGAGCTGATTGGAAGCAGATAATTGAGAGCTCACTAATTGAAACTCCTGATCTCTAAAATACATTACTTTCCAAGCTCAGTGAAAGATTGCCCAGAAATTACCTGATTTTTATAGTTTCGTTCTGGATTCCAAGTTTTCCTGCCTCCATTCGTCAGTGGGAACTTAGCAGGTGTCTGCTATGACCGCGTTCGGCGCGCGTGGAGCCAGTACTGAGCTCTGTAGCATATGCTAAGTGATGGGGGTTGCTTTAGTGTCCCGTGCCTCAGTCTCCCATGTTCAGAATGGCGGTGGCACTGATGTCTGGGGTTCACGTGCGCAGCTGAGGACGTGTGTCGTGCCGAGAAAGCACAGACACACGACTATGGGATTACAAGGTGATGTCCTGAAACTCAGGAAAAGGACTCGGAGAAAAGGGCATCTGGGTGCGTCTGGAATCCTCTTCCTGAGGGACAGGAGGGACAGGAACACGAGGGAGCGGGTTCCGCTTGGAAGCGAGCTCACCTCCAGGATCCAGGTGGCCGGGGGCTACCACGTGGCTCAGCGGGTCGGCCTTCCCCTTCAGAGGGTTTCAGTGAGCTTGTCAGTCCAGGTGCTACCGCCAGGGGAGTATGTGCAAATTGAAGGTAACATTTAGCCAGTCACATAAATCCGCACTAAAAACCCGTGTTCCATCAGCGAGACGTCGTTGCCAAAGAAAACCAGCCTGAGCAGAACTCATGTCATCCTGCTGCACACCTCCTGCCTGTCCGCACTTGCCCCGCGTCCATACTTCCTCCCCGTCCACACCTCCTCTCCCTCCGCACCTCGTCTCCTCTCCATCCATGTCCGCGTCCTGTCTCCTGTGCTCCGGGCTCGTGTGCTCGGCTGTTCGGTTGAAACATGTGAAGAAAATCTGGTTTTATACGGAGCTGCTGGGTGTTTTAATAGCCTTTTGAGCTCGCTGCGGGGACCCTCCGACACTGCGTGAGAACTGCACTGTGCTGACTCCCCGCGGGGATGCCTTGTTCCCTGTGCACCCTCGCCAGGCCCGCACCCGCGCTGACTCCCTGCGGGGATGCCCTGTGCACCCTCGCCGGGCCCACACCTGCGCTGACTCCCCGAGGGGATGCCCTGTGCCCTGTGCACCCTCGCCGGGTCCGCACCCGTGCTGACTCCCCGAGGGGATGCCTTGTTCCCTGTGCCCCCTCGCCGGGCCCGCACCCGCGCTGACTCCCCGCGGGGATGCCTTGTTCCCTGTGCACCCTCGCCGGGCCCGCACCCACGCTGACTCCCCGCAGGGATGCCCTGTGCACCCTTGCTGGGCCCGCACCCGCGCTGACTCCCCGAGGGGATGCCCTGTGCCCTGTGCACCCTCGCCGGGTCCGCACCCGCGCTGACTCCCCGCAGGGATGCCCTGTGCCCTGTGCACCCTCGCCGGCCCCACACCCGCGCTGACTCCCCGTGGGGATGCCCTGTGAACCCTCGCTGGCCCTGCACCCGCGCTGACTCCCCGCGGGGATGCGGTGTGCCCTGTGCACCCTCACCACTCCCCCAGGGCCGGCCCGCCCCGACTCCCCGCGCGCCTCCCAGGACTATGCGGGTGTGCGCAGCTCTTGCGGCTGCCACCTGTACACAGCAAGCGGGCATAAATATCCTCACGGGTGTCCGCGGTCGGACAGGTCTTCGACTTTGAAGCTGTCAGGTCCAGCGTGGCTGATGGGAGCTTTCCCAGAATTCCGATTTTGCTTAAGAGCTCACGTTTTGTCACTGACAGCAGTGACGGACTTCCTCGCTGTCACTGGCTCACTTTATTCATTTTTGAGAAAATGTCTGTCTGGGTCTGAATGGCTGTCGGTTGCAAGTCATTCCAGCAGTGAAAGGGGGGCGTTTCACGGCCAAGTCCCCGCTCCGCCCCGGGTTCAGGAGCCACCATGGGGCGCCTCCTCGGGGCAGCCAGCACACCGGGTGGGACGTGTGCCCGCGGCACCCACGGCAGCTTACGGGCTGCCGGACGTGGACGTGGGCATCTCAGCTTAGTAAGAGTAACTGTGAGCACTTCGAAGGGGGCATTGTTGGGTGAAACTCGCTTCAGACTAGGAGTTCGTGGGGACGAACAGTGACCTCCTCGCGACCGCCACCAGGATGGGTGCCCAGGGCCCCATCATCCGATCGGCCCTGGTGGTGAGGCTTCGTCTTCTCCAGCACTGGGAAGAAGGCTGGTCACTTCTCAGTTAGTGTTGTTTTGCTGTGAAACCGTTTGGACCCTGGGGACCTTGCCAGCCACGCCTGTGTGCCCCGGGCTGCGACATCGCCGGGGGCTGCGCCGCCCACACCATGTCGGTCCAGAGCCCCGCCTGCCGGTGCGCCGGCCCCACCTGGGGCCTCCTGACCCGTTCTCACATGGGGCCCCCGGAGACCGCACATTCCACCAAACCCCACTCCCTTCCCTCGGCAGAGAAAGCCTCATGTCGTGTGTCACCTGTGTGACCCGAGAAGGGACAGTTAGTCATCTTGGCCGCCACTACCCCCACCCCCCCGGGGACAAGTAGTGCCTTAGGATCCTGGAGCTTTACTGTCCGGCCAGCTCTCAGGTGAGGACAGACACCTGCTTCAGCTCGAGGATCCTTCTCCTTAATGTGCATAATGTTACGTGAAAGAAAACGTGAATTTTAAATTCTGACGAAAAGTTAACATTTAACCTAAGATTGCTTACAGTTTGGTTTATTTTCCCCCTAGGTCGGTTAGGCCAGTTGGGCTTGAAGGAAGGGTTCCCATCTGCTGTGAAGAATATCAGTTCGGTTATCGGCATGTTTATCCAGCACGCCCAGGATGAAGGTAGGTGCTCTGCCGCTGCGGTGACTTATGTCCCTTGCTCCCCTGGGAAACCCTCTCGGAGCTCCTGTGCGCCGTGCACCTCTCACTGCCTGTCTTGGGAGTTATTTTATTTTACATTATTTTTTTAATGTTTATTTATTTTTGAGAGAGCATCTGGGCATGAGGTGGAGCAGGGCAGAGGGGGAGAGAAAATTCTAGGAGGTTCCACACATAGCGCAGAGCTGACAGGGGGCTTGACCCCATGACCCTGGGATCGTGACCTGAGCCGAAATCAAGAGTCAGACACTCAATTGTCTGAGTTACCCAGGCGCTCCCCCTCTACCCCCACTTTTTTTTTAAATGTTTGAGGGGTAATTTTAAAACCTGCATTTGTGCCTACCTTCCAGCACTGGCGTTTGAGTGTGTGTGGGTTTTACATTGTGTTCTTCAATTATAATTTAACTGAAATTCAGCTAAGTTAAATTTTCAGTAAAGAACTTGTAAATAAACTTAGGCTAAACGGGAAAGGACCTTAACATACATGGCCTGTGCCGTCGCCGTAAGCTTCAGCTTCGTGGTCTGCCCCTGAAGGGCTTTCGGCCCCAGGATCGGTTCCTTTTCCGAGTCCGTGTGTAAACCTCACGGTGGCTATGTGGTGGCCGTGTGGTGGTCATTCGTCTCAGGAAGGCTCCGGACCCACCCCTGTGGATGCGTGGGTGCCACGGGGGAGCCTCCCAGAGCCGTACATGCCGGCCTGCCCCCGGCTCTCCTGCGATTCTCTTTCCACGTGTGGCTGGGTCTTCAGTTAATTTTTTCACTGGGTTTTGTCTTTCATGTTTTTCATTGCTGGCAGAAAGCGCCCTGTGTTTGAATAGTACTTCAGCAGATCGCAGCATTAAAATTCCGAGCAACAGCCATTTCCTTGGGTCGTGACTGATGGGAAAATTCTTTGCAGATATACCGTGGGGCATACAGCTGGCGGCCGTGTACGCGCTGTGCGACCTGAGTCCCAGCAACCCGGCGGAGATCTCGCGCATCCTGGAAGCCTGGCGCAGGGAGACGTCCCACAGCGTGCCGTCGGCCGTGCTCAGCTGCCTGGAGGAGGTCAGCTCCCTGTGCGCCGAGGACGTGGGCTAGGCCGCGGGCCCTGCGCCTAGAGAAGTGCCTTCAGTGTCTCCAGCACGAACAGACGAGTCAGCCCTTAGAACCCGGACTGGGGTTTCAGAAAGAAAGTCGTAGAAGACCGAAAGCGCCCAGATGCCCCCGTCGCCGTGGGGAGGACATGGAAGCCAGCAGGGGCCGGGCCTTCCCCCAAACCGCGTACATTTCACTTAAGGCTGTTGTGATTCCATGACATGTGGGTTGTGTTATTGTGTCTTGGTCAAACAACAAAAACTTGAACTTAGCCCTTTTTTGCTGCAGAAAGTGTCCTTTTAGTCGCTTTTTAAAATTGAGTGGCATTTTATAATGAATTTAATATAAAAGCATTGATTTGGTTCCTGAGCTAATTTTGGACGTTGCGCTGAAATGATTGACTAGGAAAGAATGAATGGCTAAGAAAGACCTAGAAGACTTCCACGGTGTGAGCCGGAAAGGGGCTACAGAACTGTTTCTCCAGTAGGCACAGCACGAGCCACAGGAAGCCCCGGGGGAGCCTTCGAGCCCCGCCGCGGGGCGTCTCCTTCCGGTCCCCGCAGTTCCGTAGAGCCGTGTCACTGCATCAGGACCAGGAGCGCCCAGGAGCGGAAGGTCACGGGCAAGGTCGTGTCGCGTCGCTATCTGAAGGAGTCGGAGGCGGGCGCGGCCAGGCCTCTGTGTGTGCCGTGTACATGTGGACAGTGCTATAATGTGTTTCACATTTGATGATATTCCACTTTCGGAATTGTAGTATTTGTACATAGAAAATGGGTTTAATAACTCACCGTGGTTCCGATTTGTCTTATACTCATCATTTCTTAAAACTCTTGTATGTGTTTTTTATAATAAAAAATAAAAAGTAAGCCATGCACGTGATTGTTCTGATCCGTGAAGAGTGACGCTGGGCGTTCTCGCCCAAGACGGAACCGTCTCTCTGGCCACAGACCAGAGGGCGGCTCCAAACAGAAGCAGCCGCGAGCCGTCACCGCGGCGGGGCGCGCTCCCTGGGGCGCGCGTGGTGACACCCGGCACCGCGGAACTGCCAGCGGATTGCCGCCCTTCGTTTACTTACAGGTGTTGCTGCCCCTTAAAAATTACATGTGACAACTACGTTGTCGCTCCTGCCTCGTGTGTTTAATTACAACACGCGTGACTGACGTTCATGAATAACTGTGCGCTGCCCTTTGGAAGCTGTTTGTTGGCCTGTTGTTCTTTCTACCAGGATTTGCTGGGCGTGGGGCGTCGCGGGGAGGGGCTGGGGAGCGACTGCCCAGCTCTGAGGCCTGCGAGCTGCCCCGGAGGAGCCCCCCACCCCCCGTGAGTCCGCAGTCTGAGCGCAGCGCCCGAGGTGCCGGAAGGAGGCCGGGTGGCCCGACACCCCGTAAGGGAGCGGTGGTGCGGGTGCAGTCAGCAGACAACGCCGGCACCGGCACCCGGGGGCCCAGGAGCCTTCACTCTCAGAGGGAGGTTTGAGGGGTCCCATGAGGTCACCTCTCACTGGGGCAGATGACGGGAAGGGGCAAGAGGGGAAGCAGAGACCTGTCAGGAGGTTTTGGGGGGGCGGGGAGAGTATGGGGTTTCAGACCCGTCGTGGACGGACGTAAGGTCGCTGCTGAACTGTGCGCTGCGGGAGGGGCAGGAATCAGATCCCCAGGTCACGGAGCTGGGCGCCGGGGCTGGGGACAGGCTCACAGGCTGGTGCTTGGGATCAGGAGGCCTAGGTGTGCCTTTGGAACGTGGGAGCCAGGAGACCTGCAAGTGGGGGTGGCAGCCTTTACGGGCAGGAGTCCTGGGGGGGCGCGGACGGGGGCGGGCAGGAGTCGGGGGCGGGCAGGGCGGACCGGGCAGGAGTGGGGGGCAGACCGGGGCGGGCAGGAGTCCGGGAGGGGGGAGGTGGACGGGGGCGGGCAGGGGGCGGGGAGTGATGGCCTGGGGAGACTGTTCAAAGCCGTGTGCGTGGTCACAGGCGGGGAGAACTTGCCCGCCTCGGTACCTCCTGGGACCTGACGCTCCGCGGGCCGGGGACAGGGGTCGCCCCTTGGTGGCCGTCTCCTGCCCCGGGCTAAGAAGGCAGAGAGGCAGGCAGGTGGCCATCTGTCTGCGCCGGACCCGCGACGTCGGGACAGGTGACGCATTTTGCCTCCTGTGGGTGGCGGGGACTCGGGGAGCCTTTCCCGAAGGAGAGGGCCTTCAGGGCCAGAGAAGAGCAGGTGGGCGGGCAGGCTTCAGAACACCTAACCTGGGGTGTCGGTGTCCTTAATCGGTGGAGAATGGTGACATTTTGTGCCGGTTACTGTTCTCTGACCCCTGGGTGGGTGGGGTCACCCGTCAGCCTCGGTCCGTGATGCAGCCTGGTAAGGAACAGGCCCGAGCTTCCCTTCCCGTCAGAGGGTGCGGCAGTTGTAAGCTGCTGTTCGATTTAATTTCTGGCGCCCAGGCGGGACACCCCTGTGGGTTTTATCATTTCGGAGAAATGAATAAACAAACTCGAACCTGGAGTTGGATGGGGTTAGGCCAGAGCTGTGTCCTGTGCACCCAGGAAGCACACAGGCTCTGGGCGGCCCAAGCCGGGTCCCACACAGCTTAATATTAGCGCCCGGGGCAGGCCTGGCCGCTGCCCTGCGGCCACCCCCAGGCCACCCCCAGGCCACCCCCAGGCCAGGCCGCACACTCTGGGCGGGGCCGCGGGCGCCGAGGGCGCAGGAGCCTGAGGCGCTGTCCCCGGGGCAGTGGCCGTGAGCAGGGGCAGTGAGCCTTGTGGCTCTGTGACCCTAACTCACTGCTGAGCCCTGTCCGCAGGGACTCCCCTCAGGAAGTCCCAGCTTTTCGTTCGGAGCACAGAATCAGCCTGCATGTGGCACTCCAGGCTGTCATTTTCCACCCTTGAGCGCACTTGGTCACTCTTTTTTTTTTCTTTTTACAAATAGTTTATTGTCAAGTTGGTTTGCATATAACACCCAGTGCTCATCCCCACCAGCGCCCTCCTCCGTGCCCATCCCCCCTCCCCCCCACCCCCATCAGCCCTCAGTGTGTTCTCAGCATTCAAGAGTCTGTCATGGTTTGCCTCCCTCCCCCTCCCCCACCATTTCCCCCTTCTTCTCCCCCACGGTCCTCCGTTAAGTTCCTCCTCATCCTCCTATACGTGCAAACACATGATATATGTCCTTCTCTGCCTGACTTATTTCGCTCAGCATAACACGCTCACGTCCATCCATGTTCTTTAAGACAGGATGTGATGGAGTACCTCAGACTGAACCTTTAAAATTAGGAGCCTGGATTTAACGTGGGAATGGAAAGCGTTGCACCGTGGCCAGCAGGGGGCGCTGCAGCCTCACCCGTGCGCAACTCCGGCCGCGCCGCCAAGGGCGCCGTCCCTGGGATGTGGCTGATGAGCACAGTCCACACTCGCGGAGCCTTTCACCGGGAGGCCTGGTTCCCTCCGTACTTTGTGCCCGGGGGCGACTGTCGTGCCTCGCCCACCCTCCCCGGCAGTAAGTGGGGAGAGCGGGAAGCCAGGGCCGCGCATCCGGGAGCACACCCTGCCTCCCGGCCGAACGCGAACGCACGCGCCCCGCCTGTTCTGAGCCCTCCCGGCCCTCGAGCCGCGTGGCCGGACAGACGGGCGCGGGCGGCGCCGGGGTCGAGGGCGGCGGGCCCCGCGCCTGCCCGCGCTGACCGTGCGGATTCCGTTCGGAGGCCCCGTCGGGCGCAGGGCCCCGGCGGTGTGCGCGGAGCTCAGGCGCCAGCCGGTACTGAATCCACCTGCCTGAGACCGCTCAGCGTGGAATGTTCTAGAAACGTAGGGGAAAGGGTTTCCACAGGGAGGCGGCACCGTTAACACCTCCGCCCTGTTTCCGTCAGTTGCTGTGCACTTTGTCCGAGACCTTCCGTGCGTGCGTGTGACACGCAGAACGTTCTTTTCGGGCCGCTAGAGAGTTCTGAGGAAGGCCGACTTTCGGGGGTGCTGGTGTGAAGGGAGGGGCTCCCCGAGCTCGCGTGGCCCGGGCGGGGTCACCAGGGCCAGGGACCGCGTCCGCCAGCTCTCGGGGCAGGACTCTGCCCCATCGGGGGCACCCCTGGTTCCCGGGCAGCCGCAGCCTGCGCCCAGGGGTGGGGTGGGGTGGTCTGGGGCTGCGGGTAAGGAGCCTCCCGTGAGGGGCCCCCGCATTCCCTTCAGGAGGGGCCGGCAGCCCCCTCCCGCCTGGAAACGCGGGTCTAGGTTGTCCGTGCGTCGTCAGGAATATTCTCGGTAAATGCTCAGGAAGTGCTGCGGTGGGTGACGTCACCCCGCACCGGGGTGCGCAGCTGACAGGAGAGGAAAACGGGGGTCGGAAAGGCCAGCCCTGAACCCTCCTCGCCTTGGGCGTGCACCGAAGCTGACCCACCTGGTCGTGTCTGTGCAAGTGTGCGTGGCTACTATGCGCTTTTAATAGTTCAAATCGGGGCCCCGTGCAAGTTTTCATGTAATTTTCCATGTTCGTTCCGTACCGTGTGCGTGGAGTGAGTTCAAGACGGAAGCAGGGCGCACGCTGGCCCTCCGCCCCCCGCCGGCCCGCTCCCGGGGCCCTGGCTCCTGCCCCCCCCGCCACTCCTGACCCCCACCTCGGCCCTCCGCCCCCCGCCGGCCCGCTCCCGGGGCCCTGGCTCCTGCCCCCC